AATTATTTTTACAATTATTTTCAAAATGAAATTTACAAAGAAATGCACGATTTTTAAGTGTGCATTCTTTAGTCTGTGTATCTCAAATCTCTACCAATTACCATTGTCCCAGATATTTCCTCTTGCACCTTCCCAGTTAGTCCCACCAGTCACATCCTTTGCTTCTTTAACAATCTCATACCAATGGAAAAATACAAATATTCTTCTTTGTAAGGCTTCTTTCTGTCAGAATATTTTGGGATACATCCACATTATTGTGTGCACCTGTATGTCATCCCTTTTATTGTTCAATTTTACACTGAAGTTTAGGGTATTGAAGTTGAAATAATTTGTGGGATCACAAATTTGACAAGTGTTAGAACAAGGAATCAGATCTCTTTCCTAAAAAGTAAAAAATATATATATAGAGATATCATATTAGATCTCTAATTTTAATGATATTAATTTCAGTAAATATAGTAAGTATATAGGTCTACAAATCAAGTAAAGCAAGGAAGTATAGTTAATGTTTCAAAAATTGCAAGGCTGGATAAACCTCTTTTATTCCAGTTAAGGATAAAGCTAAATTTTAAAATACATGCTGCAAACTGTCCGTCAGCAACACATTTCCCTCTCTTGGAGGCAGATAATGCGACAGCAAAATACTGAGAATTCAGACCTGCACTTCACTGTAAGGGAAGTTCATCGGGCACAAGGAAAATACCAGAGGAAATCTGGGTCTATAGAAAGACTGACGAGCAACCAATTAGCACCTATGTGAGCAAATACGAAGACTTCTTAATTATATGGGTTTAAAGCAAAAATGATGATGAGGATAATAATTTATTGCTTATAACATGCTAAAAGTAAAATGTTGACAATAACACAAGGCTGGGAAGGCAGAAACGTGGCATATTGTAAGGTCTTTTTACTGTATGTGAATTGGTATGTTACTTACAGAAGGATTGTGATAGACGTTTACCAGAAGCCTGAAAGTAACAAAGAGAATAATATAACAAAAAATTAAAGGTAATAGCCAACAAAGTAAATAATGTAATATATATATATATATATATATATATATATATATATATATATATCCTATTCAATGTATCCAAAAAAGGTCAGAAAAAAAGGAGGGAGGAGGAAGCAGATGTGATGAATATAAAACAGATGGTTTAAATTCAGCCACATCAATAATCACATTAACTTAAAGTCTAAACATCTCAAGTAAAAGGCAGAGATTGGCATATTGGATTCAAAAGTAAAGATTCAATTATATGCATTCTACAAGAAATCCTTTTTACACAAATACACAAAAGGCTAAAAGTAAAATACAAATATACCATACCATAATCGTTTCCGAAAATGACACACATGTTCTACTTCTCTGATTTGGTACTAATGGTTACTGCTAGAATACCTGACTTATTTTGTCCAAGAGAAGGAAAATTGGACTCAAGCTGATTTATGAGCTCTGCCCAAACTTTCCAATTGTACAAACTGGAGAAAAATGTAATACAATATCCTCAATGATTCAAGTTACCAGTACCTAGCTGGAATCACCATTTGGCTTTTTTCAGGTAACCTGAAATAGCGTGTGCCCTGTAAGATATGGAGTTTGCTAAACAAGCAACATCTGCTTGCTGACAGAGAGACTGAATTAAGATGAACTTTTCATTAAGCAAGCTGCCTAGCTATGATGGGAAACAGATTGCTATTACCCCTTCAGTATGTTAGCACTTTAGAGCAAATATGAACCTGAGTAATAGGGACTTACTGTTTAACAGGTATAGAGTTTCAGTTTTTCAAGATGGAAAGTTATGGAGAAGGATGGTGGGGATACCAATACCAATACTATTTATTTGAAATATCTCCAGGTATGAAACGTCATGTTTTGTCATTATTATACCAAATGATGGCAAATCATTGTTTTACTTTGCAAAACAAGGACAAAGTTCAAACCAAATTTTTGTTTCATAATTAAAAAAACATTATTATAAATACCAAAGACATGTGCAGTTATAATGAGACATTATTCATAGAATACTCTCTAGGGTTTGTTTCTGAAATAAATTTCTATGACTTTTTTGTTTTTAATCAGAAGGGACACATAATTTACTCCTGTTTTAGAAAGACTACTTTACATTGTTTTCCATAATTGTTCTTGACATGTTGGGAGTATTTCCTTCATCTTTTACATAGGCTTAAAATTTTTACACACACCCACAAATACATATGTCCTTGAATATAAATTTTGATTATCTTTTTCTGGATTCTTTTTATCTGTGATAACCAGTTAGAAACAAAGTACTTTCATTTGATTCTCCTTTCTTGAAAAAGAATTATAGATCATCACTTTTTGTTTACGCCAAGGATCAACAACTGGTTGAACAAAACAAAAATTAAAAGCAAACCTATGAGCAAGTTTACCTATTAACGACAAATAAGCCAAAGATGGTATTTCCTTAGTAAACATGTTTGAATGTACTAGACTTTTGTTGCTAAAAAAAATTAGAAGTTATAAAGATAATGACCTGGGGGGAAAAATATCATGTACTGAGAAATATTTAACAATTTGGAATACAGAATACACAATGTGTATTTCTTACTTTCAAACATGAAGCATAGATGAGGTATGAACACCTAAGTAATACTAGGTATATTTAGAGAAATAGAAAGAAAAATGTTCATGGATGTAAAACTAGTATTTGTAAAAATCATAGCTATGCAACATTATATATTTATAAATTTAAGATTAAAGATAATATTGTATGGTCATAACAACATCCATTGGAAATTTTGGTTAACTTAGGAAATTCAGGCAAATATTTTCATTTAAAACTCGCTTCACCATTAATAAACTCACCTAAAATAAAATTAGATTGTCAACACATTTATATTCCTTCCTTTATATAATGTAATACCTAAAAAATATAGCTACTACTAAAGTAAAAGGCTTAATTAATTCACTGTTAGGTTTCACAGTCTTTAACATATATATATTAACACACAAACACAGATGCACAAAACTTTTTCCTTAGAGGAGTCTTCAAATCCTGATATGGATTTATCACATAAATGTAGAAGAAAGTTCTTTATAAAAAGTTAGGATATTATGTAAAATTTTAAGTATTTTAGATTTAAATTCAATAATGGAAAACATTTTAACATCTGAAAGCCATCCTCTTGCACATGTTATATAAATATTTCTTATGCAAATATGAATTGACTATAATCATTTTAGATGAAACTAATACCAATAACATTTTTTTTAAAGCCGGTTAATTATATCTTAGCCTCTTTTGTACTAAAATTCCGTTAAAGAGAAAACCAAAGTATTTGGGAATCAACAAAAAACAGTTTGGAAAATACTGAGTACTAAGTCCTAAAGCAGTTTATCAGAAGAAAAATGCAAGGTAAAGAGATGCCAAAGTTACTTCAGTTAATTTCAATATACTCTTAAAATGCCAATATTATCTTTATATCTATCTTAAACAAATCTCAGGCAATTTTAGCCTAACTAGCTTTAATCCAAATTCTAACAAATAAATTAGTTAAATGATTTCTCCATTTATAGCTACTACTGCTATCTTTCAAAATTAAAATTGATATATAATTTCCATATACAGTCCCAGACCTTGGGACTTTCAGATTTCAAATAGCCATGGGAATTAAGCTTCTGAATACCTAGATTCACACACGCTCAGTATTGATAAGAGTGACGTAAAACTATAGAAAATAGCATGCTTGCTTCAGTGCTGCATCAATTTTAGGTCTGTGGTATTTGACTAGAAAACAAGGTTCAATTACAAGCTCTTGTCACATAGGTTGCTTGCACTTCATTTCCGTAAGTGTAGCCTCTCTATCTGGATGGCCCAGCCAGTCAAGGAAATAAATGGGGATAGGCATTTGAGGGATTATTTTTAGCCTCACAACACTTTTCTTTTTCACTTATTTTATTTTTTAATTGAGTTATCAATGGTTTATTTTTTTTTAATTTATTTTTTTTTATGTCTCCATGTAAGGGAGTGTTTTGTCACTCACTCTGCAGCTCTCCAAAAGGAATACTGCTGATATTCCAAAGGGTATTTTTTTATTTTTTATTTTTTTTTATTTGAAAATATGTGATATTTTATTTTTTTTAAATAATAAATTTTACTTTTATATTCCCCATACAATTACAACCCCCCATTCTGATCCCAATCCCTCCCCTCCCGCCCCCCACCCCCGCAAAAGTGTCTCTGTTTCATAGTTTTTTGTTGATTTTGATTTTCACTTTCTTATAGTTATTCATTTTCCTGGTCCCTTATTTAAGTTATCTAGATTCCTGCTATGAGTGAGACCATCCGGTATTTTTCTTTTTCTTTCTGGCTTATTTCGCTGAGCATGATCCCTTCCAGCACCATCCATGTTGCTGCAAATTGCATGTATTTATCTTTTTTGAATGCTGAGTAATATTCCATGGTGTATATGTACCACATCTTCTTGATCCAGTCATCTATTTTTGGGCATTTGGGTTGTTTCCAAAGCTTAGCTATTGTAAACAGTGTTGCTATAAACACAGGGGTGCAGGTGTTCTTTGGAATTGATGTTTCTGTGTCCTTGAGTTATCAATGGTTTAAAACACCATGTATGATGTAAATGAATAGTTTCACCACTCCTCAGTAGTATGTGAGTTGGCAGAATCTTAATACTTCTGATACTTATTTTAGAACAATGCCTCAATTTATCTATTAAATTGGAGTAGTAAATTTTCCTTTTCCCTTTTGATATATGATTATGTATAAACTAATATATTATAAACGAATATATTTTAACTAATATATGTAAAATATATATACTAATATATTTTAAGATAATAGGTATGAATAACTGCTAAAATCATGTAATGTACCACTCATATGCATAAAGCTATTAAATAATAAAGGCAATGAAGAACATAAACAAGTACATTTATTACATAAATATTTAAAATCTTAATACAAAGTCAGGTTTTAGAAGTTACAGAAAGTCAAAAACACTGTACATGTTCATGATTAGTTTGAAAATGTCATTTTTTACTGTACATAATGAAAATGGTTATATTTATTAATAAGGAATGCCAAGTGTATCCATCACCATTTGAATAGCTTGGAGAGGATTTGTGATTTCTTCCACTTTATCTCTTCTTAAAACCCAATCTGGTTTAAGTCTGTGAAAAGAAAAAATCTGACATTAATAAAGCTCTTCTCTTCACAGAGTTACCTCCCCTGTTTTAACTAAAGTAAAATGTTAGGCAATTCCGGAACCATTACTTCCCTTACAACATTCTCAAAGAGGTGGAAGGGCTTCACATTATTGCCCATTACTAGTTCCAGACTATTTCATCCCATCTTTCCTGAAAAATAATCTTGGCTCCGTTGAAGTTTATGCTATTTAGCTTCACCTCTGCTCTTTGTTCACCTACCATCTACCAGTCAAAATAATTCTCAGTGATTTGTTCTCTGCACACTTAGCTTTTGATCTTCTTTTAATTCCAGTCACCACTCTTAGTAACTTCAATATCCATGTGGCTAAAAAATCAACAACCTGGGCCTCCCTGGTGGCGCAGCAGTTGAGCGCTGGGCTGTGAAGCTGCCCACAGCCCCCACAGCCTCCACAGCGCCGGTTTGATCCCCGGCCACCGGTGAGGGTCCCACATGGCGTGCAGACTTTGCCTGCTGCGCCCAGTGCTCTCCTCAGCAGTGTACTTCGGTCCTTCTGCCTGTTCTGCTCCCCGCTGTGGCTCTGGTGAATTCTCTCACCCTCCCGTGCTTCTGACTGTACCCAGTGCTTGTATAAATAAATAAATAAATAAATAATAAAAAAAAATCAACCTTCATGGGTCAGTTTTTGCCTCATCTTCCTTCTGCTCTATCACAACCAATCCTATTTTAAATGACTACATAATAGACTTGGCCATCAACAGAGAAGGCATCACCAATGACAACATAACCTGAGACTTCCATTTTCTAACCACCACTTCTGATTCATCCATCTCGCTTGATTTAATATACACACTGCACTAATTTTTTGGCCGCACTGGGATCTCCAATTTATTAGACCTTAACACACAATCCCATCATCCACCAATATGCTCTTCTCAATTCCTTCCTAGTTTAGTTTAGCTCCATCAATATAATCCCCTTATTAAATCCCATTAAAGCTCTTTCTTATTGAATTCATCTGGAAAATTCCATTTGGATTCCAAGTTGAATCCAAATATTTTCTTTTACCACTCCTATGTATCTGGACATTTGTAAATAAAAATTACAGAATCAAGCTGATTTTATTTTATACCAATAATTGCAAATCTAAATGAATACTTTAAATTTCCTGGTACGTTTCCATTCTTTTTTTCATATGTTCCCTCTACACCCTGCCTGATCTGACTCTGAGCTAATGAATTTAAAATCTCATACTTTAAGAAATAGTATTAATTAAAGGGGAATTCATATATCTTTCTCAGATGGAGTCCTACTCTTTCCATCTTCTTATTCTTTCATATTAAAAATCCAAATATCAATTAATTGGTGAGTGTGGATGGAATGCAATGGAATAGTACTCTGTGATAAAAGGAAATGAAATTCTAACACATGCATTCACATCTAGAAACCTCAAGCATTATGCTAAATAAAAGAATATAGTCACATAAAGTCCCTTACTATATGATTCCATTTATGTGACAACGTAAAAAGGGAGAGTATTTGAATCCAAAGGGGTAAAAGTGAATTTTGGTATGACAGAAATAGTTAGTGGTGGTGGTTTTATAATCATATACATTTGTCAAAATCATTGAATTGCACAGCTATATGATGAATGAACTTATACTGCTGATAAAATTTACCTCAAGAAACCTGACCTCTATCAAAAGAAGAATCCATTAATATATCAATAGCAGTTTTTATAACATAATTAGCATTAAATTTTACAGTGTCTTTAAATGAAAATTTTATGTAGAAATGGTCCAATTAATAAATTATAAGCAGATAGATTATTTTATTACTTTGTAAAATATGCATTCATAGACCAATTCACAGCTATTTTACAACTTATGACTATGAGTAATTACAATATTAAATGGGATATAATCCAAGTCAAAAAACAGTGCCTTGTCAACATTGAAAGATTTATATCTGGTAGACAGAATTTCTAAATCACAGAAAGGAAGGAGATTAGGAGAAATGAAGAGAGGAAATTAATACTGCAAGCTATTTCACTTCATCAAAATCAGTTAAATCTTTTTGTTAAAAAGGAAAAATCAGAAAATAAATTCATCAATAAAACCCTACTGCCTGAGCAAAATGTAAAATTATAGTTGAATTACCAATATTACAAATTTTGAACTACAAATGGATAACAAATTAGTACTATAATTATTACAAAATTATAGTTTCAATTTATATCATTTAACGAAAGCTATCAGAGTTCTCTACCTCTCTTAGATTTACTAAACAATCGATTTTTATTCATAGGAGCATTCTGATTAGCAAACTCAATAATGTTTGCTAAATGAACAGATGGATGGATGGATGAATACTGACACAAATTGATAAGAGTACATTTACTGCTTACCTTGAAACTACCCTGGTTCTTATAGGTGTTTCTGGAATAAAGGAAATGCTCATAGAAGAATTCCTTTGTTTATTAATTATTCTTTCAGTATTCATTTTATGTTTACGAGCTGTAAGTTTGTAGAGACTATAAATACAGTCAACAACTTTGGACCTACTTCGAACATCCTAAAAAAGAAAATTCACATTTAATAAAATTAAGAAGAACTGAATTTGTAACCTTCTATGCTAGCAAAGTCAATCATAATAAACAACTGCTATGCATTAAATTATGACCTTGTTTAGTAATCAAAAGCCAAGTTCTTCAAGTTCAGCAGTTAGTTTTCAATTACAATCTAATCTGTAAGACAATTATAAAGAAGGCAAATATTCTGAAAATGTACACTTAATTGAAACTGAAAAAAGACAAACATTATTATAGTCAATATACCTATTATAGCCTGTTAACAAACTTGTGAATTTTACCTCCTCAAAGTTGCAAAGTTGTCTACTCATCTCTCTCTCACTGACACAATCCTAGGTCAAGTGCAGTCGCTTGCACAGATCACTTGCCTCCTTCTTTCATAATGTTCCTACACCCACACATGCTCTCCCAAATCTATTCTTCAATCAGCAACAAGTGATGCTCACATGTAAGTGAAACATTTCTTTCCTTAAAATTCTTCCAGGGCTTCCATTGTACTTGGGATTAAAATAACAATCCCATCATGACCTATGGTCACCCCTACATTGGGAGCAACACCTAGAAAGAATACTTCAGACTTCTCATCACAGAAAACCTTGAAAATGTTTTTATGATTTCCATAGGAGGATGAGGAGTCATACATGACCCTTGTTCTACCTTGTTAGGATAACTTGTTATTTCCTCAAGTAAAACAAATTCTATTTTTGGCATTCCATTCCCCTGATACTTGAGAAACTCATATTATCAGTGCAAAAATTAGGTTTGAACATATACAAACCCCTATTTTAGTTGTGATAGTTACTGAAGGCAAAGAATAAAAATCTAAGACCTAAGAACCTAGAAAAGTAACCTTGAAAAAGTAACCTGATTAATACTTACAGAGGCTCGATTTGTTGTCTTCAATAAAACAGCTAACAGACAACAAGTTTTTGTGAAAATGCTTCCCCCTTTATCTGCAACTTTGTCACCCGGTTTTTCACGGTATCTCTGCAAAAGCTCCAATAGTGTATCGACACAGTTTTCTACATCATAAACTGCTGAAGTAGTTTTTTCATACTTGAAGAGATCAAAATGAAATCATAAGTTAAACATATTAATGGGAACACTCCAAACCAAAAGATTGCTCAGTCAAATTTTGGACCATCTGTAGCAAGTGCAAAGGACTTCATGAAAGGACTGTTTGATATTGCCATTTCTGGATTCATTTCATATGTGGGTCTGTATTTTATTTCTTTATTTTCAACCTACTTCTGAAGTTCCATAGAAAAAAATGAATCAAATATAAAATCTCTGAAAATGAACATCTTAAAGCAAATAAAAACACACTTAGAGACTAGTGAGACCCTCTCATAAAAAAATATATTTATCTGTGAATAATCATAGAGTAAGATGATAAAAGCAATGCTTCTTGAGAGAAAGGTAGTTTTGCTTCTAAATAAAACAAAAATAAATGTGATACCAATATCCTAGGATGTATTTTCTTGTCTCAGTTATCTAAATGTGTCTTAGATTAATATAAAAGTTTGCTTGGTAATAATTATAATAACTCGAAGATAAAAATAACAAAGCAATATTAATAGTTAACACTGAATCTGGCACTTCTAAGTGTCAAGCATTTTATGTACACTGTCTCATTTAATCCTAACAGTAACATTATGAGGTGGGTAGTATTATTACTGCATTCATTTTACAATTGAAGAAGGTGAAACACAGGCAGACCAAGTAACCCATACACTGCAAAGCTGGGATTCAAACCCAGAGGCTGAGCATCAGAGTCTGTGTTCTATAAGAAAATACTGGGTAAAGTGCTAAGCTGAGATTGAGGCAATGGGTGGAGAGATAAATCTACTTCTGCTATCTCAATATCTTTGATTGCATGCATTATAGTTTGGTACAGATATCTGTTAGTAGTCCAAAGCCAAAATACTTAAATTCTAATATATAGATTATTATAGGGTAAGTTATAGCAATATATTATCTGTGCCAGACATAATTATAAGAGGGGTTACTGTTTCAATATAATATAGTGGATAAGAGCAGCAGCTCTAGAAGTAGACAAAAATGGATTCTAATTAAACTCTATCACTTGACTCACACTCAAGTTATTAGATAAGGAACCTAACTTCTGTAATGATTTTTATTCCTTGTCTATCAAATGGGATTAATAAAAATGACATTGAAATAAACAATACTGTAAGTATTAAATTAAATAATACATGAAAAACACTAGCCCATAGTAAACAAATAATAAATGGTATATACCACTGTTATTAATATCATAAGGACAGAAGAAATAAAATCATAATATAAAAAAATTAGCGTTTCTATCTACAATTATGTCAATTAAACAATTCCTCTCTAAGACTTAGCCAAAAATGGATTTTGACTTGGAGCAATTAAAAACTTAAGTTTCTGGATCACAGTTCTTAACTAAATGAACATGACATTATCAAAATGGAAAACTACCTTAGCAACATTAAGCAAGACTTGTACAGCATATCTGATGACTTCCATGCAAGGTACACTCCGATTACAACTTCGGATCAAAACAAATATTTTAGCTATTGCTCCACTCTGGGCCATATTCTCACAACAAAGTGGAGACAATCTAGTAACAACCTCTGAAAGGGGAAAAACAAAACAAAACACCAAGGTTATTTCTGAGCAATAAAATGAAGTTTTAGATAATACTGTACTATCATAATATTATTGTTTGCACACACAGATAAAAATGCATTTCTAATCTTATGTAAGATATTTTTAAAATTTACTAACCTAGATGCTTTAAAGCCTCAAGTATTGCAGAAATGTGCTTATATGTCAAGAGATAATGAAGTGCAAGTGCAGTTCTTTTGTAGAGTTTGTTTTCTTCTCGAATCTCCCTATTAACAACTTGAAGACTTAGTCGTATGGCTTTAATTTTCGTACAATCATTTTTCTTTCTCCAGGAATATCCTCTCCATAATGCCTTAAAGAGATAAAACACAGTAGTTTTAAGATTATAACCCATGATATTTTGAGCTTAAATCTGTTTACACAAAGTAAATATTTTCTATAGATTTACAGGCTGTGATTAGAAACTGTGACATCAACTCAGTTCAGATTCTAATAAAAAGCAAAACTAATCTTCCTAAAAAAGAACTTCATCTAATATTCTTATACATAAACTGAGACATCATTCATTGACAAACAACATCTAAATCTATTCAAAATGTTAAAATGCTTTTTCATCTCTCCTGGGAATTTGAAAATAAAGATTTAGCAATGAAATTATGGTAGTATACATTTATGAGTGCTTCTATTTGGCTAATTATGTTAGCTTTTTAAAATGTTGTGATATGTCTTCATAATATTACCTATTATGCAAAAGAATTGCAAACCAAATCTTGACCTAAATTCATAAAATTTTCAGTTACCTGAATTTTAGTAATTCCATTATTAAATTTCTCCTGTTTTTTATGGAAGAGAAAATGGCGTATTCCCTTCTGTATAACTGATGCAGCCCGATTTTGCTGGTTCAGACGTTCTTGAACTTCATGCCGAATTTTTATGATGTGTTGATATCTTTGAATAAATCGCTTTCTCTCTAATCTTGCTCGAAACCATCTCTGTTTAAAACATGTTAAGATTTTTTTCTTTTTTACTTCAGGATCTTTAATAAATTTTTACACACACACAAACATGCATAAATGAAATAGAACATTTTATTGAAATATCTTTCAACCGTCCTGAGTAGCATTGCTTCTCTGCCTTACTAGGTGCAAATCCTTCCTATTCAAATTGGATGTGTCTATGTTTGTGTGTGTGTGAATTTCATATTGCCTTCATTTTATAATATGTATAAATTCTTTCAAATATAATTTTGCAATATTTTCACTTAGTATTTTATATATAAGTATATGTTAACGCATCCAAGCAGGATTCTTATTAAGAATATGAAAAATTCCTGTTCAGTCATAAGGAAAACAATACCCAAAGTAAAATGGGGAAAGTGTAAGGGAAAAAAAAGCAAACCAATATACAAAAAAGAACTTAACTGATATATATGAAAAAATATTTAGATTTGTTAGCAATTCAGCAAACCAAAGCAAAAATGAGATATAATTTTCTATTCACCAGAATGGCAACCATCAGAAAGTCTTCCAATACCATGTGCTAGCAAGTATAGCCATTGTATTCCTAGACTTTGCTAGTAGCTGTGTAAAGTACTTAAGAGAATAATTCAGATCTTAATTTAATAATTTATTTAATAATTCAGAGCTATGTGCACCGTTCACAAAACATCCACCTGTTTTTTTTTTTTTTTTTTTAAAGCGGCATGTATTTATTTATTTATTTGTTTGTTTGTTTGTACAAGCACTGGGTACAGTCAGAAGCGCAGGAGGGTGAGAGAATTCACCAGAGCCAGAGCAGGTAGCAGAACAGGCAGAAGGACCGAAGTACACTGCTGAGGGGAGCAGCGGGCAGCAGGAGAGGTCTGCGCCCATGTGGGACCCTCCTCCGGTGGCTGGGGAGCAGCCGGGGATTGAACCGGCGCCGCAGAGGCCGCGGGCAGCTTTGCAACCCAGCGCTCAACCGCTGCGCCACCGGGGAGGCCCACATCCACCTGTTTTTAACCTATCAAATCATCCTAAAAACAATATGGCAAAAGGCAAAATATTAAGTGACCTCAGCTTAAGATATTTGGAAATTATTTATTAAAAAATTAAAAAGTCTTAGAAAAGTTATATAGTTTTACTGAAAATGAGAAGCTAACCTGAATACAGATGACTGAATTAATCTGTTTATTAGCATTCTTTATAGCCAGGTGAAGTTTATATGCTCTCTGAATTTTAAGAGCAGACAGGTGATAAAATGCTGCTGCTGTGAAATGAAGAAGCCTGATTTTGGCTCTCTGTTCTGAAATCTAAAAGAGAAAAAAAATATTAATAATCAAATCCTAAGAAAACCAATGTTTATTTATGCATGGCCTCAAAATCAAATCATATAAACTAGTAATAACAGATTAACTTCCAATTACTAAAATTACTTACAGTGTAATTCAAATTGATTATAACTCTTCACTACACAATATATGCAATAGTGTAATGTATAACTCAGGGTATAGAAAGCAAATTTATATTTTGACAGTTTATGCTAAAGAAATACAGCTTTATATTTAACTACACACTACCCAATAACAATTGCTTTGTGATTATGAGAGAAGTATATGAGAAGTATATGAATATTAAACTCAAAAGGAGTATATGAATTGTTTTCCCCAAGTACTAGATAAGTTAGCAAAAATCCAGCACAAAACTCTTGTAGCATAAGCTTTGTTCAGAGGCCTTTTACCTTTAGATTTCCACTTTCAATTTAATGAACAGAACACAAAAGAATTCTACTTTTAAATTATGAATTTAATTATTTTGTCTTTGCCAGCGCTTCATATATTGGATGCCCAAACTTTACAAGCTCCCTCACAAGGATTCTCTTGCTGAAGATGTGAAATTAACACGGGAATGGTAGTTACAACACTAAAATAGTCCCTTTGCGGTAACAAAAGGCTACTTCAACATCAATTAATATGGAGCCCTCCTATCATAATTCTTTCAGATCCTTTAAGATTTCTACAATTTCTTCTTTGTCTACTACAAAGACAAATTTTGTTTTGTATTTTTGGTGGGGAGCATCTGTGGGAAATAGTCTTATACGACAAACTATGGCAACCCAATGATCTTGTTTTACCGTTCTGCAGAAGCTGAGTCAATCCAAGTTAGTGGTTGTATTTGTTCTGAAATTATTCTCTGAATACCAAAATATCTTAAACACAGTTTAACTCCAAAAATGCTCATAAGACTGAGATGCTTTACTTAAAAATACTTACCCTTTTTCTTACTAACCAACCACGCACCAGTGCTTGCAGAACAACTGCACATTTTTTCAATTTAACATATTTTATCTTTTCATGCTTCCCAACCTCCCTGGCTCGTATAAATCTTTGTATGGTCAGAGCAGCAGACTTCTGCCGAAGAAAGTCCTGCCGTGCTTTATATGCTCTAAAATTTGCTTGGATCAAAGAAGCAGCTTGATGTCTCTATAAGGAAAAATTTACAAGTAACAGTAACAGAAATCATTAAAAAAAATAATAAACTTTAAAAGATAGTATAGCTAATTCACTTTTTTACAGCTTTAATTTTAAGCATTCTTATTTCATACACAAGAAAAGGTGATGGTTCATAATTTATAAACCCATCTAGCTCTTCAGCTGAAAACAAAAATTTTATGAAGGTTTAAGCCAGGGTCAGTAAGTATCTGGAGCTCTTTTCCTCTCATCCTCTTGACAGTTTTCACTGTGAGGGGGGAAAGGAAAAACATGACTACCAGATGAAAATACTTTATAAAAATGTAGGCCACATTATAGAGTGCAGAAAGAATGTTATTAACAGTTACGAAGGAAGCTATTTTTATTTTAAGAACCACAGTGTACCACCAGCATATTGTAAGATTCTTCCATTATATATCATCCTGACAACCAAATGAGAAGACATTAGAAAAAGTATATGGATTGAAATGGGAACTAGGTTTGTTTTACAACATAGACTTCTGACCTACTAGCTGAATGAACTTGGGAAAGTCACTTTATCTCTCTATACATGAATGTTCTCATCTATACAATGGGTATTCTAATAATAGGTACCTCATAGGGTTATTGTGAGGATCAAATGAATACATAAATATACAATAGCAGATGTAATAATAATAGTGGTTATATTGCCACAGTAAATATTAAACATCAAAATGCACAATATTTTTATTTATTTACTAAAACACCATAAGTACTACAGATTTCCTAAAGTATTGTGTTAAATATATTAAGTAGGATACTGATTGTGGCCTAAATAAACTGCTTGATTTATACTAGACAAAATATGTACATCTATTATTTCTCCCAAGAAATTATTATTTTTTAAGATTTTTTTTTATTTATTTATACAATAGCTGGGGTACAGGCCAGAGGTGCGGGAGGGTGAGAGGATTCACCAGAGACAGAGTGGGGAGCAGAAGAGGCAGAGAGCACTGCTGTGGGGAGCAGTGGGTGCAACAGGAGAGGTCTGCTGCGCCGTGTGGGAATTTCCCTGGCTGGCTGGGAATCAAACCCGCTCTGCAGAGGCTGCAGACAGCCTCACAGCGCTGTGCTCAACCATTGCACCACTGGCAAGGCCCCCCAAAATTATTTATTCTAAGTCATTTCAAGTTTGCGTTTGAGAAGCTTATAAATATAGAGTCATACACAAAAATGCTCACAAGAAGTAATTCTATGAGTGAATATAATTTTTAAGGGACTACAACAAATATTTAAATCAAATGTATCATTAGGTCTTTCAGACATTCTTTTTGTTTTCTGTTTCCTGAAGTAGTTCTTTGCAAACAAGCTTTATTTTTACACCTACTTTTATCATTAAGAAGTGCTCACAAGCTATTCTTGTACAAAGTGTAGCTCTCCATTTTCTCTGAATGACAATTGCTGATGCTCGCAACTCCAAAAACCTAAAAAGGTAATTATTGGAAAGTAATTTCAAATTAATCTATTTGATAAATATTTACTGCCACCCCCCCTTAAATGCTAAATGATACAGAAAATAAGGCGATGAGAAAATAAAATGAAGTGAAAAAGAATCATTTATATCTAAGTTCTATTAATCAGAATTTTACACTTGCCCAAGAGTGCACTCACACATGCACACAAACTGACATGAAAAAGTTTTGCAGTTGGCAATATTCCAGCAGGCAAGAAATAGAAGGTTCTAGAATGATAAAGAATTTGAAACGGGACAAAAAGAAATTATGATTATCCACATCCAAAGACAGATAAGGGAGGTGGACGTAGAATGGGAAAGTATAAAATCTGAGTCTTGGAGCAAACAGATACGGGGTGGTTAGGAAGAGATATTGGAAAATTATGAGCAGCATAAAGCAAATGAGAAAGATATTCATTTGAAAGGAAAGACAGGCATTATCAAATCACCTAAAATAAGTATTCTGGAAACAAAATTGATAAAATTTAAAATGTGGGGGCTAGAGATTAAACCTGAGATGTCAACATAGTGAAAATAGGTAAAAATTGAGAATGGACAGGCAGGCTCTTTGATCTCTTCTTGGTTAAGTAGAAAAGGTAGAATTTTTTGCTAGATTTCTTAGCAAATAAGAGTTAAGTGTTAATGAGAACAATCTGGCATTTTGGTGAAGAAAAATTAGATACTGGTCCTTAATAGTAAATAGTAGCAAGTATATCTTTGGATGTTAAGTTTTGATTCTACCCATGAAATTGATGAGGAATTCTTCTAATATTAGAGTGCTCCACTAAAAAAAATCTTGAAGCCATCATTAATATATTAACTACTCAATTCTGGGAACTCAGTTCTGAAGAAAAAAAAAAAACCTTATGAAATAGCAAATAATACAGCAAATCTGGTAACAGCGTCTGAAAATGAATGTAAAAAAAATGAACTAGGAATAGGGAAATGCAATTAACACAAGCTAGTAGCTAGGTCTTCATCATAAAAGATGAAGAATATGGGGGTCATACAAAGTAAAAAAAAGAAAGAAAAATATGAAAATAACTGACAGCCAAATCAATAAACAAAATAGATCAATGCAATAAGGAAAACAAACTTTGTGAGAGTACATTATTTCTCACCTTCCATACTTATCTTAATCCCTAAGAACTAGAATTAATCAAGTTTAAGTAAATATTTTTACTTAATTATAATATCAGGGCTCTATTTCAAAAAATAATGGAGATCCTACAAAACAAACCATACAAATTAAGCACAGTAAATTTTTAAAAATCAATAGGCAGTATTATTTAATATATGTACTTGGCTACCACACCCCCCCACACACACACCCCTCATTTTCTCCCCCACAGCTATAATGCATTACCAAGCTCTCTTCTGTTTGGTATAGAAGCAACCTTGAAAGATTTTAACAGCTTTTAAAACAGCTAGATATTCTTTACGTGCTTTCCAACACCTATACCAGGCTTGAATCTTGCAGGCAGCTTTCACTCTACTTAAATATTTCCTGGCTTTATATTTCCTCCACGCAGCCTATTAAAAACATAAATAAAATAAATATGGAATGAGATGTCTACTTTTCTTTAATTGGAAGAATTGCTATTAAAGACTGCATAAGGTTAAAAAAAAATTAACCGCGGAAATAGTCATATCATGACTCTTCTAGTAGAATTATTCTTCCCTGACATACAATGAATGACTCCTGTGAGAACAGTGGTGCTACAGTGAATGCCTACTAAGTGCTTCATCACACAGATTCCTGTGGTTGGCTGCCAGCTAAGCTATATAACCATACAAATATTTAAAAACTGGAAGATATGGAAAGTCAATATGCATACTGTCATCACTATCTCAATCCATTGGAAGAAAAGAACGAGCACCATCACATGACTATTCAGCTTTCTGAGAAGGAATGGAATCCTTTCCACCACCTCCCACTCCTCACCTCCTCTCCCTCACATACTCTTGTGATTTGTGTTTAGCTGGTAGGGAAAACCTGAGAGCATATCTATCATAGGAATGATCAAATTTTCCAATATGGACAACCTGCAACTGACTAAAAGTTTAAATGACATCTGTAACGTATTAGGTGCAATAATATAGGTAGGTGGGTAATGACATCTTTAATCAGAGAAGAGGAAATCAAAGTTTAGAAAAATTAAATGATTTGAGGTCACAAGTAGTAGGCAGAGGTATTTTATTTAATCATCGCACATGAGATTATTAAGGTCTTATTTGATAAAATAGAAATTGATATTGAGAAACAGGAGACTTATTACCACATAGCCAGTAGCAACATAGTTAAAATTTGAACTCAAGAATAAGTGACTCCAAATCACTAAAAACAAATACTGCAGCCACTCTTTCTATGTGGGTTAGGGTCTACATTTGGTTGGCAGAGAAGAATTACATGTATGTGATGTCTTTAACATACTTGGAGCATATTATATATGGCTTTTATGTAAACAAAGCTGAATAAAAACATATTGGTATTCAGAGTGGGAACCAAGTGTCTGTACTTTTAAAGATTCTAAGTGATTTCATTGGGCATTTGAGACCACCAGTATAAAAAAATTAGAAGTGTAAAATATAAGTTTATAAATTAGTTATATAAAAGGAACTCTGTTCAATAATAAAATACAAAACTGCTTTGGAAACCAAATATGCAAAAACGGTCTGAATAAAGTACAATGGGAATATTCCTTTGATACATTTTACTTGGCTATGTCCAATTCACCCTTTCCTTTATTCTTTCTACTTAATTGCTAAGGAAATTCTATAGAGACTACACCTGGGGGATTGGGGAAAGGAAGCAAACATTGTTTAAAAATGAACAATGATATAAGAAAAATAGAAAAAAAAAAAACAGAAAAAAAATACTCTTTGGCAAAAAATAAAAAAAAAAGCCACTTTGCTCTGGGAAGACTCCTTGGACTTACTTAGGTTTCCCTTCTTCACATTCCAGCAACAAATACTTATTTCTTATAATATACTCCTTGCCAATTTATCTTCTTTGAGGATGGCAAGTAGGTGTATTTTACTATTATTATAATTGCATATGTATTTAGCACATTGCCAGCACTAAATATTTGTTGAAAATAAGCGCTATTTGTAGCTTACCCACAACATAGCAAGACACCAACTTTCCACAAGTAGGCTCAAAGCTCAGATTATTAGAGTTAGAATAGAAATAGCAGAAGTACTCAGAATTAATGCCTGGTTCTTGTTCACTATGCACAACATCAGCAAGTTATTTAATCTTTCTCAATTTATATTTAATCTTTCTCATTTATATTTCAGAAGAAAAATATTCTACATCCCTCACACATTTGGAGAACAGAATAAACAGTAATATAAAAGTGCTTTGTGAACTATATGTACTAAATACTCTGATAAAGTAAGTATGCCTATCTAGACTAAGTAGTTCTGATTAACAGATTAGTAGAATAAAGTTACCTTATTTGTTCTATCTTATGCCAAGTAATACTTTGCCTTAGCCTAAATTTTCCATGTAAAAAAATAACTTTACCCAATAAAGAACTCCCGTTAATCAAACTATATTCTCCCAAGTCTTCCAAGAGTGCTATTACCAACTGAAATACATCAAACATAGTCTTTGCTGTGTTGACTGAATTATTATTCATTCTCTTTTCTCACTTTCAAAAATGTTTGTTTAGACAACAAAGGAAATGGTAATGTAACTCAAAGTATTACTCTTTATGACTAGCTTAGGCTCATTTTATAAATTCTAACAAATACTGGTCAAAGAAAAAAAGCTTTATATTTAAATATACAAATACCTGGATTTTTATGGTGCTATCTTTAATTTTTTGAAATTTCCGTTTCTGCATAAATCCTTTCATTACAGCTTGAATAATGATTATGCTTCTCCTAATCTGCAAATAAACTTCTCTTTGATGTTTTGTAGCCAGAAAGGCTCTGTGGTGGTTTTGTAAGATCTTTGCTGCTTTTCTGTATGCTAGAAACTGTTTTCTGGCTTGCCATGTCCTGAAATACTGCTGTAAAGTGAGGGCAGCTCTTTTCTGCTGAACAAATCGTTGGCGACACACAGCCATCTGAAGGAAGGACTGAATTTGTAGGGCAGCAGGCTTTTGTGTTTCCAATTTTCTTGTGACCATTTTACAAAAAGCTTTTTGAATTGTTACTACAGTCTTTCTTGGCAAATCAAACTCTGCTTCCTGTGACCAAGCACCCACAAAGGTGTTATAACAATTGTGAGTCCCAGCTGCTGAGCTCTGAACGACCTCACATTGGGTTTCAGTTCTGTGACAGTCGACCACGGTTTGGGGAAAAGCAGCAGCCAGGTTTCCCTTAGACACATTTTTCAACTCTGATCTAACTTTCTTGCCTCTAAAATCACCCTGAATAGTGTGTAGGGATTTCTGAACTGCTAAAACCGTTTTTCTTTCCAATTTTATTCTTACATATGACCTATAATAATTCTGTATAACAACAGCTGCAGCTTTCTTTGCTTGATAATCAGCATTTGCCCTGTGCATTCTGTAAAGGGACTGAATTCGTGTGGCAGCCAGATGCATATGCTGGATGTCCCTTCGGACCCTGTAGCGTCTATAAGAAGACTGGATACAAATAACTGCTTGGGTACGCTTTGCAGTTAGTGCTCTGTATCTTCGTTGAACAAAGATGACTGTTTTTCTAAAGTGGAAATAACGCTTCCTTATTTTTGAGGCTTTAAAATACTTTTGGACAATGAGGGCAGCCTGATGCTGTTCCTGAATCTCTTGCCTTAAGATCATGTCCTGGATACAAGCTGCTGCTTTTGTGAGTGCATAGTGTTGAAGAGCTTTCTGTGTTTTATTTGCTCTATATACTTTTTGTACTAGTTTTGCAGCCCACTGAACCTTTTGGTAGAAATAATACTGCCTATACATTCTATATGTGCTTTGTATTATGACAGCAGCTTTTTGCTTTTTCCTCATAAGCTGTCTCACTTTCATTCCTTTATATGCAGCCTGAATGACCACAGCAGACTGCCTTTGCCTGATAAAATTTTCTCTTTGCAATTTTACAGCTCTGTATCTTCGATAATGTTGCTGAATGAGAACTGAGGCATATTTCCAAGTCTGAAATGTAAAGTACGCTCTGTGCATTCTGAAAGTAGCCTGGATGACAGCTGCAGCCCTGTGCATCTCCTCTACCTTCCTCTTTACCATTAGCCTCCGGTAAGATGACTGGATTGTAATGACTGCCTTTTGTAACTGCAAGAATTGGTGCAAGTGATGCTTAGTACAAACAGTGTCTCGATATTTCCTCTGAACAAAAATAGCAGCATTTTTGAGGGAAATGAATCGTTTTCTCATCATTGAAGATCTAAACTTGCTCTGAATAAGGGTTGCAGAGGAATGCATACTTCTCAGATGTCTTCTAGTCCTCATGCCCCTAAATGCAGCCTGCAGAGTCAAAACAGAATGTCTTTGTTGGAGGTAACATTGTCTCTGCAGTTTTGCAGCCCTATTTGCACGGTACCACCGCTGGATTACAAGCGAAGCGTGTTTCAAGGTCTGGTACCTCGCACGTTCTACACACATCCGGAAGGTTGCCTGGAGGATAGCAGCTGCCCTGTGCATCTCTTGCATCATTTTTCTTACCATCCATCCTCTATATGATGACTGGATTTGAATGACTGCCTTACGTAATCGTAGGAATTGTTCAGAGTGATACTTTGCACAAGCACTTGCACGGTATTTTCTCTGAACCCAAACAGCAGTTTTCCTGAGAGATAGGAATCTTTTTCGAGTCAGCAGAGTTCTAAATCTTCTCTGAATTAGAGTTGCAGCTAAATGCCTAACTTTTAAATCTCTTCTGGCTTTCATCCCCCTAAAAGCAGCTTGAATACATATTATAGAATGCCTTAATTTGCTGTATCTCTGCAATTGTTTGTTTTTCTCCTTGACTGCTCGGTACCTCTGTTGCATTGCTTTTGTCACCTTCTTTAACTTATTAAAATATGTCTGTTGTCTGTATCTTCTGTAGTAGGACTGAAGGAGTATTGCAGCCACCTGAATCTTTCTCGCAGCCTGTCTAACTCTCATTCCTCTAAAACTTGCCTGAATAGTAATAACAGCTTTCAAAATTGTCAAGAACTTTGCACGCTGAGTTCTAACTTGATAGTAGGCTCTATATCTTACTTGAATCACGACAGCTGCTGTCCTCATTTTATGGTATCTTATTTTTGACTGATGCATTTTAAAAGTGGCTTGAATAACAGCGGCTGCCATATGCATGCTCTGAATATGTCTTCTTACTCTAATTCCTCTATAAGTAGCTTGGATTTTAATTGCTGCCCATTTTAAATCAAGGTATTCCTTACGTTGATGGTTTGTAATTATAATACCTCGAAACCACCTCTGAATGGTAATAGCTGAAGCTTTACAGGTTGCATATTGCCTTTGGTTTTTGTAAGTTCTATATTTAGACTGTATAGTGACTGCTGCTTTGTTCCACTCCTTAATTCTTTTTCTCACTCTCATACTTCGGTAAGCTGACTGTAAAACTACAATAGCTGCTTTGGTTTTCAAATACAAATGATGCTGTTTCCTTCCAATGCTGTAAGCTCTATAATACATTTGAATGAGATGAGCAGCATTTTTCATGGTTTCCCACTTCCTTCGCTGCACGTGCATTCTATAGTATGACTGTATAATGATAGCACATTTCTGTTGTTTTTGAATGTGTCTCCTTGCTGTTTTTCCCTTCCATGTAGACTGAAATATCAGTGCCGCATAACGGAGTTCAACATACTCCATGTGTTGCTTCTTTCCTACAGTCCATGCTCTCAGATGTCTCTGGATGACTAATGCTGCAGTTTTTATCACTCTAAACTGCTTCTGGGCCTGGATCATTCTAAAAGTAGACTGAATCTTCATTGCGGCTTCATTTTCCTTTCTGATCTGCTTGCGAACTTTCCAACCACGATAAGCAGACTGGAGAGAAATCACAGCTGTCCTTGTCTTTAGAAAATGTGTTTTTATCTCATAAACAGTCCTGCATGCCCTATACCATCTCTGAATTTTGACAGTAGACTGAAGCACAGATTGATATTTCACCCTTGTACTATAGCCTCTGAAAGCAGTTTGAATTTTGAGAGCAGCGACAGATTGATGTTTGATTAGCTGGCGCACTCTATAGCCTCTGTAAGCTGCTTGCAAGCAGGTAAGTGCTCTTTTGATCTGCAAGTTCTTCCTCTGATTCACCTGTGATTTGTATGCACGATAGTAAATCTGAATGACAACAGTTGCTTTATAAATTTTCAGGTAACACTGTCGCACCTTTCTCATTCTGAAATAAGACTGTAGTGAAATAGCAGCTTTTCTTTGCAATCTCATCTGCTTTCGAACCAGGTATCCTCTAACAAAAGCTTGCAGTTTAACACAAGATGCCTGCACCTCCATGTATTCTTTTCTCATTTGTGCTGCCAATTTTAGTGACCGATACCAGTGCTGGATGAACAGAGCAGCTGCTCTTAAACGTAAGTATCTTTTACGAGTTCCTTTCATCCTGACAATGGATTGTAACTTTATAATTGAGGTGAGAGTGCAGTTAAACTTGTTCCTGGCTTGCATCCCTCGATATGCGCTCTGCAGAACAATGACAGCAGAACGTGTTTTCTGGTAAGATGATAGAACATTTTTGGCTGAAACATAAGCTCGGAAGTGAATCTGAATTACCAAGGCGGCATTCTTCATCTTCTTGTATTTCTGTAATTGTTGATATTTTCTTATGTGTGCCTGCAATTTGATGACTATTTTCCTAAGGTTTAGAAATTGAAGTCTGTCTTGCCTCATTCTCCAATATGACTGAAGAATACAAGCAGCTCTAATTTGCCTGTGTAACTTCTGTGCTTTCATTCTCCTGAAAGCACCCTGTAGTCGAATGGCTGCGGCCCGTTTCTGCAAATAGTTTGTGCGTTCAATCTTTCCTTCTAAATATGCTCTATAGTACTTCTGGATTGTCAGAATAGATTCTTTTTTCTTTTCATATAATTTTTGGGCTTGAATGCACTGGAATCTTGTCTGAATAGTAACAACACAAGATCTAATATGAACATATTTCTGCAATTCTTTGTGCATTCTATACCATGACTGTATGACAATAGCAGCTTTTTCTTCTTTAGCACGTTTTCTGGCATGCCATTTTCTAAAAGCTCTTTGCAATATTATTGTAGCTTTAATTTGTAAGTGCATTTTACGTTGCTTCCATCTTCTGAACATATACTGGATGATAAGGGATGATGATTTTATCATTTTATATCTCTGTTGATCATGGTTTCTTCTTAAACAAGCACGCCAATACCTCTGAATTGTAATAGTAGCCCACAGGTATTGTTTGTAAGAATTAACGGCAATTAACATTCTTATCCTAGATTGTAGGATGATTGAATAATATTTCAGTTTCAGAAATTTTTTTCTAGTGGAATATCTTCTCCAACACCTCTGGAAAAGGTAAGAAAAAGGACAAAAAGTAAAACAGACATGGGTTTCTATACTTATCATACTTGAAAATACTAATTTTTCTAATATTTTCCTTAAAAAATAAGTGAATTTTTATATTTTTTTCAAAAGTAAACACATAAAGTATATTTTGAAAAAGATACTCATCTATTTGTTTGTAGTTTAGGTTTGTACATTGACATAGCTAAAACCAATTCAGAAATTTTCAATTCTAATATTTATATTGCATTTGCATTCCAGAGGTATAAGAAATATAATACTGTGTTATATTCAAATAACATATTAGTAGCAAACAAGTAATAATAAATCTACAAAGATTCTTTGTTATTGAAAGAGAGGGGAGGATTTCCTTCTACCCTCTTGGTCTTTCTTTGGTGGTCTAATAATTAAATTGCCATAAGACAGATTAATAAGAGAAAAAAACCAGGTTAAATTCCATGTACTTGGTGATGCCATTAAGAATATGCCATCTGGCCCTGAGCAGAACAACAAACTTATATACTTTGTAGATAAAATACTGAAATTTTTGGTCTGGCCATTAATTTAGTGGGCTATGTAAGCTTATTTACATTGGAGGAATAAATAGGTCCTGAAAACCCTGACTGTGGTGATAAGAAGTCTTCTCTCCTCCTGGTGTAGGACAGTGGCTGCCACAAAGAAAGTTTATATCCTGCTCTTTCTGAGGAAGAGGGGTTCAGAGGAAAATTCTTGCATTTAGGGAGAATAGGGAGAGTCAGTATCAACATTGCACTTAGTATTTCTCATGTAATTTCAATTAAAAGTAATAAATACACCACTCTGGTACATTTGGGGGCAGCCTGCTTTGAGTTCCAACACTGTCTCTTGATTCTAAGTAATTTTCTAGGAATTTATCCCTGGATCTTACATTTTCCCACTATGTCTAAATTGCTAAACTATCTTACAATGAAGCTATTTGAGGGATTCTATACTATCACCTTATGGGCCTGACAACATAAACAGAGGAGTTTGAGAAAAAAGTGAACAAGGTAACTTTTAGAGTCATTCAAATTAAAATTGCATCCTTTCTCCAAACATAGCAGTAAAAAATACACTTCTGGAAAAGGCATGGTAGCTTCCTTTCCCACATACCCTAACTTAATCCAGTGATATTCCAGCTCCACAGAAAAGGTTACAAAGTCTCAAGCTGATTCTGGACACTGGTATCTAAAAGACCCTTGGCTACTGAACACTAAGTGTTGGATATTCTTGTAGCAAGACCATTCTTTTGTTCAAAACACTCCAGGGGCCTCCCCTGTGGCGTAGCTGGTTGAGTGCAGCACTGTGATGCTGCCCGCAGCCTCCACAGCGCCAATTCGATTCCCAGCTGGCCAGGGAGATTCCCACATGGCACAACAGACCTCTCCTATCTTGCCTGCTGCTCCCCTCAGCAGTGTATTTTGGTCCTTCTGCCTGTTCTGCTCCCTGCTCTGTCTCTGGAGGATTCTCTCACCCTCCCCAGCCTCTGGCCTGTATCCCAGTGCCTATATAAATAAATCTTAAAAAAAAAAAAATCCTTTAAAAAAATACTCCAAATATTGCTAAAATGGTGGTAAAGGATCAGAGGAGAAATTTTCCTTACATTTAAGTAAGTTAGTACATTGGTTGGCACCTTACTCTGGCATGCATATACCTGTGCTTGGTCAGCTACACCTATTCAAGGATGAGAAATGTTAGGGAAAACATATACCTTACTGATCCCCTAAGTTTTTTCTCCCAATAGATTCTGCCATATCCCTTTATTATGTTTGATTGTGGTTTTGCTCTTACCCTTCAGCCTGAAAAGAAATGTTGTACACACTTTCTTTTACTATGAAGAAATGCATAAATAATCAAACATTTCTCCAATTACAGATAAGCTAATTTATGCCAAATGGCTTTGAAAACTATAACTCTATAAAAATGTAAGATAAGTAGAGGTTTCTCAAAATATTTAATATAGAACTACATATAATCTAGCAATTCCTCTCCTAGGTATCTTACCCAAAGAATGTAAAAACATAATATGAAGGGATATGTATACCTATGTTCACTGTAGGATAATTAACAATAGTCACATTATGGAAGTAACCTACATGCCCAAGGACAGATGAGTGTATTAGGAAGATGTGTTACACACACACACACACATTCATGAATGATGGAATACCACTCAGTTATATAAAAAGGATGAACGTTTGCCATTTGTGACAACATGAATAGAACTAGAGAGGATTATGCTAAGTGAAATAAGTCAGAAGGAGAAAGAGAAACACTGGATGGTTTCACTCATATGTGAAATAGAAACAAAACAAACAGTCAGACAACACCAAACCAATAACAAACTCCAGTTAACTGACTGTCAAACTGAGGCTACAAATGGGGAGCAAGGGCCTAGGTGGTGGGTGGTGTCAGCATCTACTGGAAGCCCTGGCTAAGCAAAATGAAAAAGATATAAAAGGCATACAATTCAAGAAAGAAGAAGTAAAGCTTTGTTTGTTCACAGTTGACATCATCACCTATGCAGAAAATCCCAAAGATGCGATAAAAAAAATTCTGAAGCTACTAATTATAGCAAATTTGTAGGATATAACAACACCCACATTAGCAGCAAAATAAAAGAAAGATTTAGGTAAATATCCCATAATAAACACATGGATATAAATGGTCTAAACCACCATTAAAAGGTTCTCAAAACATAAAAATTAAACAATTTAAACTTCATAACACATATAAAAACATAAGTAATTTAAAGAAAAAAGTAAAAAATATTTTCTGCAAATGATTATCAAGAGGAAGCTGGAGTACTTATATTAACAGTGAGCATGGCAGCTTAAGAGAAATGAAAATTATGAGGTCTAAAGGGAACATTTACACAATAAAAAAAGACTTAACTCACCAAGAAGACCTAGTAACCCTAAATGTATACCACCTAACAGCAGAGTTTGAAATACCTGATGAAAAAAATGAAAGAACTGAAGGGACAAAGAGTCAAAATTAAGGAAAACACTTCTCTCTCAAAGGAATAATAGAAAATCAGTAAGGATGTAAAAAACCAAACACCATCAACCAAGTGGATCTGGCTGACATCTGTAGAACACTCCACCCAACAACAACAGAATACACATTCCTTTTAAGTACACAGAACATTCACCAAGATCAGGCATCACCAATAGTATTCTGTAAAAGGCCAGAGAAAAACTATCTTCAGCTTTGTGAGACATTTCTGTTTTAGCGGCTCAATTCTGCCATCATAGTGTAATAGGAGCCCAAACTATACATAAAAAAATGGGTATGGGGATCCTGCATGATGCCATGGGAAGTCTGGTGGAGGCTGAACGAAACATGTGTACATATGCAGGAGTAAATATGCAATCCCCAAGTTATACAAAAATGTAAATGATTGGCAAATTTAATAAAAAGAAGAAAAAGAGGGCCTCCCTGGTGGCACAAGGGGTTAAACACCACACTATGAAGCAATCCACAGCCTCGGCAGCATGAGTTTGATCCCCAGGTGGCCAGGGAGCAACCCACATGGCGAAGCAGACCTCTCCTGACTCGCCTGCTGCTCCCCTCAGCAGTGTACTTCAGTATATCTGCCTGTTCTGTTCCCTATTGTGTCTCTGGTGAATCCTCTCACCCCCAGCCCCTCTGGCCTGTACCCCAGGTCTTGTATGCATAAATAAATAAATCTTAAAAAAAAAAAAAAAAAAAAAAAAAGGACATGGTATAGTTTTGTTCTAAAAACTTACATTGACCAAAACAGAAGGTAAGCCAAATTTGGGCCATGGGTTTGCCATTTTTAAGACTTCCTATAAAACTATGGTAATGAAAGCATTTGTGGTATTGGTAAAGGTACACTTACATTAATGGATTAGACTTCAGAAGAAGGTAGACACAAATATGGGCAAATGATTTATGACAAAAGTATAAAAACATTTCAACAAAAGAAGAGTACCCTGTGCTACTTAGACAAAAATTAATCCAAGTACAGTCATGTACAAATGATGTTTTAGTCAATGATAGACCATATGCAAGAAGGTCGTATTACATACAGTTTAGGTATATAGCAGGTTATGTCATCTAGGTTTGTGTAATTATGCTCTGCCATGTTTGCACAAACTGTTCATTGTTGCATTTCTCAGAATGCATCCCCATCCTCAAGTAACACCTGGCTGTACATTATAGGTCTGAATTTAAAATGAAAAACTTCTAAGTACTTAGGTATGATACTAAAAGTTTAATCAATAAGAGGAAAAAAATGACAATGGGAATTCATCACAACTAAATACTTTTTCTCTGTAAACGTTAGGAAAATTAAAAAGACAAGATCAGACTGGGGTAAAGAGTTGAAAATCACTGATGAAGGACTTGTATCCAGAATATATAAACAACTCTCAACACTCAATTAGATAAACAACTCATTTCAATACACACTTCACCAACAAAGACACTTGGAGCAGGGTCTCACTGCATAATAGTAGCACACTTGAATCCAATAAAGATATTTGGAAGGCAATGAAGTAATTGAAAACATTACAATATCATTACCTACCATGGAAATACAAATTAAAACCAAAATGAGCTGCCACTACACCTGCTTTTATCAGAATGACTAGAAAACACTGAGAACAGAGTGTTGGTAAGGGTGCAAAGCAATTAGAATTCTCACACATTGGGACTGGGAGTACAGAATGCCACCCTAGAAAAACGGTGGCAACATCTTATATAAAGTTAACCTGACATTTACCAAATGACCCAGCAACTGCACTCCTAGATATTTACCCAATGAAATAAAATCAATTAAACTGGAAAAAAATGAAAATATCTTTCCATAAATTGTGGTAAGTTATGGAATGAAATACTACACAGCAATAAAAAGGAACAAACCATTGAAATATTCAACAATTTGGGAGAGTCTCAAAGACATAATCCTGAGTGAAAAAACTCAGTTTTAGAAGGTTACATACTATATGGTTCCTTTATGTGACATTCTCAAAAAGACAAAACTATGGTAATAAGAACACAACTGCAATTCTCTGGGGCTGGGTATGGAGATAGAAATGACCACAAAGAAATAGCATGCAGAAGTTTTTCTGGGTGATGGGAATTTTCTATTTCCTGATTGCCAGGGGAAAAATAGGCATTTTGAATTGTTTGAACCTTATACTGAACACAGCATAGAGTTTTACAGGTAATAGGGTTGTATTAAATATTTGTTAAAGTAGTAGGTAAAATACAGAGACCTAAAATGTAACCATTTAAAACTTTATCATATTTTCTTTCTTAAAAATGTCATTAAAACATTTAAATTGAAAAATTCCAGTATACTATACCTGAATAACTGATGCTGATTTATTTTGAACTTTTTCTAGTTTTTTCTTTTTTAACATTAATAAATTTCTCTGTGCTAAGAGCCTTCGCCAATATTTCTGAATGGTCAACACTGCATTAGCTTCTTTTTTCAAACGCTGTATAGTTAGAAAATTTACTATAGCTGATTGTATAATTCTTGCAGCTTTATCTCTCTCCTAAAATCAAAACAAAATAAAAATGAATTAAAAACGTAATCACTTAAGATCGATTTACTGAAGCCTATGGCCTTTGTGGCTGTAGAAATTCAAGTTCTGGGCCTCCCTGGTGGCACAGGTGGTTGAGCGCAGCATAATGAAGCTGTCCACAGCCTCTGCAGTGCCGATTCGATCCCTGCTGGCCTCGATCCCTTCAGGAGAGACAGACCTCTCCTGTCCCGCCCGCTGTTCCCCTCAGCAGTGTATTTCAGTCATTCTGCCTGTTCTGTTCCCTACTCCGTCTCTGGTGAACCCTCTCAAAACCCACACCTCTGGCCTGTACCCCAGTTCTTGTATGCATAAATAAATCTTTAAAAAAAGAAAAAAAGAAATTTAAGTTCAAAGACCACCACTCCAATTTTAAAACACATTAGAAAGCTACCAGCATGGTAGTGACAGAAGGGCAGAGCATTTTATGTGATATTAGAGATGCTACAGATGGAAAGCAGATTAAATCCAAAAAGGTAAATATATTACCAAATCTAGCAATTATTTGAAAAGCTATATAAACTGATGGTAAAAATTCCCAGGTCCTCAGTCATTGACTTGACTTTAAATTAGACTGTGTGTCATCATTTTTAATCCTATCTGTAGCTGACCTAACTCATTACCAGTTTATTTTGCTTTGTATATGGAGCAAATGCAAGATTTCACTTTGCTTTAGAGTTCATGCCTACTGGTTGGCAAGAAGAACTGAGTGTTGTTAACGAGTCAGGAGAATTTTGGACAATGCTACTTCATTTGTCAGATAATTTGACCATTAGCCAGTGTTTCTTTGTCACTACAAGGGTTTAAGTCATTCTACCCTCAATATTTTCTATATATCACAAAGACATGAAACCAAAACATAAAACCTGAAAAATAGCTATCTCAAGATAAAGTTTCTATGCTTACTTACTTATGATATATCTATTAAAATATGCAGGCAATCTGCTGCTTAATGATCCAAGTAACAAATTAATACATAATTGGATACTTAATGTAATTGTACAAGAGAGGATGATGGCCATTTGGAGGAAGGCAAGAAGCAACAGTCTTTAAAACACAGGTAAATTTCTGCTATGTGGATCAAACAGATAAATCAAGAAAAGCAAATCTCATGAGCAAAGAGATAAGAAATCTCTACAGTTAATATCTGAGTATGTAAGCCTGAGTAGAAAATAAAGCTGATTTTATTACCAAAAACCGAATTCTGATAGATATCTATTTCTTGGGATTTTAAATATCTTACTGCCATATAAAAAAAAATGAATGAAATAATTTGAAGACTGGTCAAGAAAGTCTTCCCAGAAAGCTTTCCTAAAACCATTCTCCTAGAAGATTGCCAGAGTATAGCCTAATCCGACAAGGAGTATGTGGACAAGAATGCAGATCCTGAGCAGGCAGAGACTATATAGTAGCCAATTACCATGACTTTAAGTTACTGCTTATTTGCTTAAATTTACTACCATTATTTTGAGAAGGCAAGAGCAAATAATTTCAATTAGCATTATTTCCAAGTCTGGTATAATATGAGACAATACACAGCATGTTTAAGAGTCGTCAAAATTTAGCTTTACATATCCACTTTCTAAGAACTTCATGATAAATGTGTTGTGTTTCAAAACTCAGGAGCAATATTGTAGAATAAATTTCTGAAATATCTGATTTTCTTAAGCATATCTGCCTGTTCTTTTTTTCCAAATAATACTTTTAAAGTAATAAAGGATAATCTGGAAGATAGTTACAAGGCAGACCAAATGAGCAGGCTGACAGGACAGCAGAAACAGGCACTTGACACCAAGGCCCAAGCAGCACTAGTTGAAGTAAAGCCTCTCAGAAAAATTTTGCAGACAGGTTAGATTCCAATAGAAAGGAGTGAAGAGCTTAGTTAAGTATTCCCAGTTTATTCTTTACAAATTTGCAAAGTATTTAAGTCATTTCACTTCCCCTACAGCAGACTAAATGAAGGGCAGACAGCAGCTGGAAGATACATCAAATTAAGGAAATATCTGAAGTTAAGTGAAAAAATATCCATCACTTATTCAAAACATATACAATTACTAAAATTACTTGAATAACTGGATATAACAGTAAAATGTAAGAACCATTAGCAAGAATCAATTAACTGTTGACCATCTTATGTATTACTATTTACATTATAATGTTTTCATTTTTAGGAGTACCTGATGGCGTTTTAGATCTGTTTTTAGTTTATATTTTCTCCAGGTTGTCTGTATGATTCGAGCAGCTCTTGTTTCTTTACGAAGATCCAAAAGTCTTGCACAAAGAAATGACAAATATGTAATAACGACCTAAGAGAAAATATAGAAAAAGCTGAAAACAGAAGATCAATAGAAAATATATAATATACTATGATCTTCTGTAACTTTTATTATTACGGGTTATTAAGAATTCTCCTTTTACTTACTTTTTCGTCTGGAATTGTATTTGACATATCTGTGTGATGAATCATAGCAGGTATTCCACCAAGATCTCTAACTGCAGACCTAACCAACTGAAAATTTTTCTTTTCATTTTCTAGGAGTTCTTTGTATAGTTCTGATGCATTGTCTACTATGTAAGTGAAAAAAGAAAGATTAGAAGGCCTGATCAAAAGTCAGATTAAGCAAAGAAAAGAATGGAAAATCAACTCAACCGAAAGGGACTGACCATAATCAAGTGCATTATGAGACATCTCCAGAGGACTGTCATCAGATTCAGAAGATGAATTTAACACCACTGAACCAGTTTGTGTACACTCCACAGTCTGAGTGGTACGCTGACATATAGCATCAAAAGGCATGTAGCAAGGATGATAGTGGTGGATCAGGTAACATAACACGCGACCATCTGAGAAAGACACTGTGAAATTCTCCACCTGATTGGAAATAGCAGAAAAATAATTAATACATTAGATTATAATATAGATACTAATGGTCTTATAGTGCATATTTTCTTTTAATAGTTAATAACATCACATTAACAGCTAACAGTAGCTACTATAATACCATATTCATAGCCAAGTTCACCATTATAAAATATTAACTATTCCGAAAATAGAATCTAATGATATTATTGTACTGGGTAGGATAGTGTTCTTTTTAAAATTTCATGTTCTTCCCAGAAGCTCAAAGTGTGGTCTTTTTGGACATAGGATCACTGCAGATTTAATTAGCTAAGATGAGGTTATATACTGTAGTAGGGCTCTTTATCCAGTATTACTGGTATCCTTATAAGGAGTCAGAGATAAATACACAGGGACAAGGCCATGTGAAAACAAAGACAAAGATGGGAGAAATGTGTTCACAAGCCAAGAAAAACCAAGGATTGCCAGCAACACTAAAAGTAAAGAAAGGCATGTAACAGATTCTCCCTTAGGACCTTCTGAAGCTCTCTACTATTTAGATAAATCACAGAAGATTAACCATATACTTAATTTTTCTAAAGGTACTTGTTCAAGGTATAGCAGTTCACCATATTTGGCTACATGTATTCTGTATCTTTGTTCTTGTTTTATATTCCTTACCAGATACTGTATTCAAAACTGTTAAGAAAAATTTACTTTCCATGTATCAACTTTTCACCCTGAAATACAGTATGACTCTACCAAAGGATTACAAAAGACTCCACTTAGACTTTTTTCTCCTCCCTCTACTTCATGGTAAGGTTATTCATTGGCTCTTTCTATGTGGTAGCTATATTTGCATTTACCTTTATAATAAGAATGTGATCCTTTGGTGCCCTAGTTCTATGCAAGTGTCTCCTATTAAGACTCCCCTTTAGGGCATTTTTTTCTTTTTTAGTGATATTAAAATAAGTTTGTACTTTAAATTGGTGACAAATTAAATATGGTGTATGATACAATAAACACCCTCACTCATTTGAGGAGAAGTTCGCTGATACGTACATAAACTAAAAAGATCTATGCATTAAATTTAATTGACCTTAACCAAAATTTATTTAAAGATACTGAGCTAAAACAAAAACAAAACCAAAATGAAATTAAAAGTTACCTTTTTATAAGAAATATAAAAACCACATGATAATATCAATAGATGCTGAGAAAGCTTTCGACAAAGTGCAACACCCATTCATGATAAAAGCCCTTGAAATTCTTGGGATACAAGGAACATACCTCAACATCATAAAGGCCATCTATGACAAGCCAACAGCCAGTATCATTCTCAATGGTGAAAAGCTGAAAGCAATTCCATTAAGATCTGGAACAAGACAAGGATGTCCACTCTCACCACTGCTTTTCAATATAATACTGGAAGTCCTAGCCAGAGCAATAAGACAAGAGAAAGACATCCAAGGAATCCAAATAGGAAAAGAAGAAGTCAAACTATCACTATTTGCAGATGATATGATAATATACATAGAGAACCCCAAAATCTCCACAGAAAAACTAATTCAACTCATCAATCAATTCAGTAAAGTGGCAGGATACAAAATCAACACGCAAAAGTCAGTAGCCTTCCTATACACAAACAATAAATCTGAAGAAGAAGAAATCAAAAAAACCACCCCTTTTATTATCGAAACAAAAAAAATCAAATATTTGGGAATAAATCTAACAAAAGAGGTAAAGGACCTATACAAAGAAAACTATAAAACACTGTTAAAAGAAATAGAAGAAGACACAAAGAAATGGAAAGACATCCCCTGCTCATGGATTGGAAGAATAAACATTATTAAAATGGCCATCCTACCAAAAGCAATATACAGATTCAATGCTATTCCAATCAAAATCTCAATGGCATTCTTCAAAGAAATAGAACAATTATTGATGAAATTCATATGGAATCACCAAAAACCCCGAATAGCCAAAGCTCTACTGAAAAAAAAAGAAGGAAATGGAGGCATCACACTCCCAGGCTTCAAACTATACTACAAAGCCATAATCATCAAAACTGCATGGTATTGGAACAAGAACAGACATACAGACCAATGGAATCGAATAGAAAATCCAGAAATAAACCCACAGATTTATGGTCAACTAATCTTTGACAAAGGAGCAAAGACTATGCATTGGAGCAAAGAAAGTTTGTTCAATAAATGGTGCTGGGAAAACTGGGTCGCTACATGCAAAAGAATGAAGCTTGACCACTACCTCACACCATACACAAAAATCAACTCAAAATGGATTAAAGAGCTAGACATAAGACCTGAAACCATAAAATATATAGAAGGAAATATAGGCGAAACACTACGGGATTTGCACATCAAAGACATCTTTACAGACACATCACCCAAAGCAGTGATAGTGAAGACAAAGATAAACAGCTGGGACTACATCAAATTAAAGAGCTTCTGCACAGCAAAAGAGACAATAACAAAAACAAAGAGAAACCCCACCAACTGGGAGAACATTTTTGCACTCAACACTAATGATAAAGGACTGATCACAAAAATCTGCAAAGAGCTGATGAGACTCAGCAACAACAAAGAAAATAATCCAGTCAAAAAATGGGCAGAAGAGCTAAAAAGAAACTTCTCTGAAGAGGAAATGCAAATGGCCAACAGGCATATGAAAAAATGTTCAACATCACTTGTAATCAGGGAAATGCAAATCAAAACTACCATGAGATACCATCTCACACCAGTGAAAATGGCACATATTAAAAAAACTAGCAACAACAAATGTTGGCGAGGGTGTGGAGAAAAAGGAACTCTCCTGCACTGTTGGTGGGAGTGCAAACTGGTCCAACCACTATGGAGAGCTGTGTGGAGATTTCTGGGCCTACTAAACATAGAGCTTCCATATGATCCAGCAATTCCACTCCTAGGTATTTACCCAAAGGACACAGAAACATCAATTCCAAAGAGCACCTGCACCCCTATGTTTATAGCAGCACTGTTTACAATAGCTAAGCTTTGGAAACAACCCAAATGCCCAAAAATAGATGACTGGATCAAGAAGATGTGGTACATATATACCATGGAATATTACTCAGCATTCAAAAAAGATAAACACATGCAATTTGCAGCAACATGGATGGCGCTGGAAGGGATCATGCTCAGCGAAATAAGCCAAAAAGAAAAAGAAAAATACCGGATGGTCTCACTCATAGCAGGAATCTAGAAAACTTAAATAAGGGACCAGGAAAATGAATATAAGAAAGTGAAAATCAAAATCAACAAAAAACTATGAACCAGAGACACTTTTTGGGGGGCGGGGGGTGGGAGGGGAAGGATTGGGGTCAGAATGGGGCGTTTGCAATTGTATGGGGGAATATAAAAATAAAATTTAACATTAAAAAAAATAAATAAATAAAAGTTAAATGAGGCAAAAAAAAAAAAAAAAGTTACCTTTTTATTATAAAAGGCACAAACAGCATTCACCCATTCCATCAATAGCTTGATGTTATCACTATATCGTTCAAAGGAACAACTATTCCTTTCATCTTTTTTTTTATTAATAACAGTGTCAGACTCGCATGACAGTACGGACATTGCTTTCTTCATACTCTGGGTGTGTTTTAAAAAGTCAATTTCTTCCTTTAACTGATCTAAATTAAGGGAAAGATCCACCTGAAACACAAAATAGGCAAACATCTTTACAGTTTTCATATGTTATTTTAAACCGAAGTCAGTCTTGTAATTTTTTGTTTTTAAGATTTATTTATTTATTTATTTATACAAGCACTGGGTACAATCAGAAGCGCGGGAGGGTGAGAGAATTCACCAGAGCCAGAGTAGGGGAGCAGAACAGGCAGACTGACCAAGTACACTGCTGAGGGGAGCAGCAGGTGTGGCAGGACAGGTCTGCGCACCACGTGGGACCCTCGCCCTGCGTCCGGGGATACAACCAGCACCACAGAGGCTGAGGGCAGCTTCACAACCCAGCGCTCAACTGCTGCGCCACCAGGGGAGGCCCTCTTGTAATTTTTTTTGAGGGCAATAAAAGTCTACATAAAAGTGAGGGAATGTGCTGTTTGATTTAACACAGCTGACCCTTAAACAGTGTGGGCAGGAATTGCACATGTCCACTTACATGCACTTTTCATTAGCATGTTTCACTTTCACAGATTCAACCAACCTCTGATATCTGTTGGTTGAATCCACCATGCAGAGCCTGTGGTTACTAAGGGGCATCTATAGGAAACTTGAGCATCCACAAATTTTGGTATCTTCAGGAGTCCTGAAACCAACCCCCTTCAGATAGCATACAACGACTACAGAAGTTTTAGAGACATCAAAAGGGGAGAGGAGTGGGTCAGCACCCTTAACTGAAATTGTTCAAAGGTCAACTGTACATGGGATTTAGGGTCATGTAAACCTGGGTTTTAATTTCAGTTCTGCTTCCTATCAGTGATGCCACTTTTTAGCATCGGTGTCCTCATTATAAATTAGTGCTAACACCAACATTATAGGGGTTTTGTGAAGATTAAGTTGGAACATATAAAGCAATTATCACTGTGCCTAGGAAAGAATAAACTCTAGCCAGTAATAGTTGTAATTGTCAGTCTTTCTTTGATGCAAATGCTTTCATAAATTAATATTAAAAATTTATAAAATTTTCAAAATGTACCAAATGCATAATACCTGAAAAGCAAATGCTATTTTCCAAAGCAATGCAAGAGTTTTTTCTCTGTGTCTATCCACAATATCCTTAGATAGGATTGTATTTCCTACAAATAAAAAGACAATCCATTATCACAATATATGTACATATTAATTTTCAGTGAGAAAAAAATATTTTATCTCTACTTGATTTTTACCATGCTCATCATTTAACTGAATTCCTCGTGACTGAAGAATTTGAAGAACAATGTCAACATTGTGTATCCTTTGAAGACGACTTATCGCAGGAATCCTGAGTTTCTTTGAAAGATTCCAGTTTCGTGTGAGGAGTTCCATTATTCGCCTAAAGGCAATGGAATTTTAGATGAAATTATTATATAAAAACATATGTGAAAATAACATTTAAATATGTAAAGTCTCCAATTTAAAAGGTCTTAGGGTAGAAAGACTCAAAAAAACCATTTGTCAAAATTCTGTTGCTTATACCACCACTAGGTATTTACCCAAAGAATATGAAAACACTAATAAAAAAGATTTATGCACTTTGTTCATAACAACAGTATTCACAACAGTCATGTCATGGATCCAAGCTGTGTGCCCAGGGACAGACATGGGATAAAGAAATCATGGAATATATATACTCAATGGAACAATACTCAACTATTTCAAAAGATGAAACAGTGCCTTTGGGACAAAAATGGCTCTTGAGGTGATGATGCTCAATGGAATAACTCACAAAGGGAAGGACAGTCACAAGATGTTTCACTCATTTGCAGAATAGAAACAACCAAAGGAAACAAAATGGAAAAAGCACAGCAAAAAAATTCTTAAACTATGTGAAAAATATAACTGATTACCAAGGGAAAGGACAGGGAGAAAGGAGGGAAAAGGGAAAGGATATTTGCATGATAGCAAGGGATATCTGATAGAGTCTGAGGAAGCATTTGGACAATCATGGCATGTAGAGTACCCCCAAAATTATGAAGTTACCTAAACTATTGACAAATTAATAAAATTTGAGAAAAAAAAGAAAACCCAAACTCTGTTGCTCCATGGTTAGCAAATAGTTATTTCTCATTTTAAGCTTAGTGGTTGAGGTTTATGAACAGAACGTAAAAAAGAAAAGAAGTATGGATAGCATACAAGATTTCTGGTCCTGAAACCTGACACCATATTTCTGGGGCAAATACTTACATAAGTGCTGCAGACACTTCACAGTTCATTGAACCCAAAATTTATTTCCTCAGATGAAAAAACAAGAAAGATTGTACAAGAACGGAAAAAAAATTTAGTCCATTTCATTAAGTAAAATAATGCTGTTTCTAATACTTACACAAGTCGCACCCCACACTGCAAGTCTACAGCAAGATTTGTAACAGCAAAATCAAATTCATCAAATGGTGTCTGAACATGGTTAACAGGTAATCCCAATAAGCTAAGATGACGGGAAAGGTCACCTTCACCACTCAGGAAGTCTCGTGAAAAAGCCAGAAGAATTCCTTTACTAGTCTATGGAGAAACAAGTTGCAGGTATCATGTCAATATTATAATCTTGTATATAGTAGAAATAAACTTTTCAAATTATTCTGTGCATGCAGAAATAAAGTAAAATAAAAGTAGAATAAAAAGTTTCATATAATATGGTAATAATGCAAATCTCATATATATCCAATTTAACACCTTTCAAAAACTTATTTATAATTGATAATACACTAAAAATAATTTTCCCTCCAAATTAATTGCTCTGAAGCAGTTTTATTCATTCTTGAATCAAATGGAGTTTGATTCTCAAATAATGAGTCTTGCTGGTGAAATACCCACCAACAAAACCTTGGCAGAATTAGTACTACTGATAAGCTTCCCTTAGCAGAGTACTGCTCATTGGGAAACTTAGTTTTTTTTCTAAGGAGAAAATATACAATACAAACACAAAGACCTCAAATGTGAAATATAAAACATAAAATGTAAAATGAAAATTATATACCTTGAATTCAGCATCTTTACAGAAGAGACAAGGATCATGATCAATAAGTTTGGAGATTTTAGCATAGTCAAGGAAACAAACCAACAGCAGTAACTTTTTCAATGTAAACTTAGATAAAGCTTCTTCATGACCTTAAAGTACAAAAAAGCATATCAAGTTAATCTATGAAAGACAAAATATATAATGTGCTAGAAAAAAAAAGTAATAGTAAGAACAAATAAACAGTACGTGCCTTTCCTGGTGCTGAATATATATGAACTGACTAAATACTTATAACAACTATGGCACAGGTACCATTTAATATTTCCAGCTCATGGCTGAAGAAATAGAAGAACAGTAACATCAAGAATTTTAGCTTGTCTCATTCAAGAAGTATTTAATGAACAATTACTATATGCAGGCATCATCCTACATGCTAGATAGATTGCAGCAAACTAAAAAAAAAAATATTATCCCCATAGAGTTTACAATCCATTAGGGAAACAGACTGGGAAGATACAACAAAGAACTAAAAGTAACTATAAATAGTGATAGAGGACTTGATGGGTAGTGATGGGTGTGGTGGAAGGGGGATTGGTTCCTCTATGAAGGTAGAATTTAAACAAACAAGAAGAATGAGAAGAAGCCAATTATGCATTTATGCAGAATTAATGCAGCGGAGACAGAACTATTTACCATCTCTATATAGATGAGGTACAGTGGGGTGTCTATACTCAGCTGCTATATCAGGATTCCAAAGCAAGCGATGAAGAATAAACACAGCCAAACCCGTGACATCACTGTTGTCTTCCAAAGATATGAGTTCTCCATAAATTGTCTGAAAGAGAAATTAAGGTTAAAGTTAGGACCTCTAAAAAGCAAAGGAATGAAATAAGGGAAAAGCAGACAATGATTTCCAAAGAACCAGTAATGCTCTGTATCCTCAGTAGTACAAAAGTGACATAGCTAAATAAATCTAGAATTATTTGACATGAGAAGCTGTCAGTTGACATATAATTTTCTGATTAATGAAAGGGTTTTTGGAATTGAAATAAAACCTAAGCAATGTTACCATCAAGCTCTGTGACCATAGTAAGCATATCACTTGTTTTTCTAAGCCTCAACATCTTGATAAATAAAATCCAGATTATTGTAGAGTCCCTTCAGTTCCAAAGATTTTTCTACCAAAACAAATTAAAGAATAGAATATGCCACATGACAAAGGTTAAAAGGCTAAAAAAAAAGGTTTTCCAGCAAACTACTAAAAGAAAATGGAAATACAGGTGATCTCTTTAAATATAAGCACATTTTTAACAGTCTACTAGTAACTTCCTAATTCATTCAGTTTTAACATTACTGAGCTAACACCATGGGAAAAACTTAAGTTTCAATGACATTTTTATGAATAGTGTTCCATTAAAATGGTTACAAGGTTAGACTTTGACATTAGACAGGTGTAGAATCAAATCTCGCCCAATTACTGGAATCCCAGCACCTAACATCTAAATTTCTGTTTATGTCAGTGAAGTAAAAATATTAACATATCACTGTGTTTTGAAGAGGCTTAAATTAGAAAAGGTATTTAAAACAGCCTAGGATTGTGATTTGCAAAAGTTCAAATAAAAGCTTAATATAGTATATATTTTTATTATAGTCGGTATCAAATCAAATATATTTAAGAAACTAACAGGGAAAAATGTTTTGTAACAATATGACAAAAATATATAATGGCATAGTCTAAGAAGTTAATGAATATTTATTAAAGGACCTAAATTTTTATACTGTCAGATCAGCTAAGTTAATCAAATGACTATAAATAAAAACCTATAAATAAAAATTACTTTGTTAAAATGTCTATTGAAAGTATATAATAATCTTTTTTAATTCAAAATCTAAAATGCATGTTTACCTCTAGGCCAATTCGTAACCACAAAGGATTATATGACAACAGCCAATTCAGGACTTTTTGCCTCTCTCCTGAAATGCAATTAAGAGGAAGTAAGCTCAGAACATGAATCAAAAGGAGACAAAAAAATTTAGTGGCGAGAAATCAGTGGAAAAACGAGCCACTTCAATGATTTAAATAAAGTACACTTCCATTTTAAATATACAAATTATCATATTTAAGTTCATGAGAGCCTAGGCAACAAAGCCAAATTATGTATATTTTTCACTCTATAAAGTCTCTAAATCTTAAAAAAAAATTAACCTCAAGATTTCTATAGTCTTCTTACCTACATCTTTCCAGAGGTGTCTATCCCTTCGTACAATTAACCGCTTAGCTTCAATTTCAATTTCAAGCTTTTTAATAGCTTTAACCAGTTTTTCGGAAGTAAACAAATGACATGCTGCACGACGTAACCTATTCAACCTGCACCGAGCAGTATAAGCCCTGAGAGACATTTCATCCTTTGTCGGAGCTCTAGGAACACTTATTTTATGTTGGTTCTCCATTCCCAAAAGGAGAGTGGCAGCATTGACTGGGTGAAAACAAAAGGAAGAATGTTTCAGTTAAACAATATTTGCAGATGTCCTTAAATGCAGCAAATGCAATTTAAGATGGCAAAACAGAATCTATTCTTTGTCCCTTTTAAATTTGCCCCTCTTTTTCCCAACTCAAAGCCAATGTGTCAGCATTCATTCCCTAGCTTGGACAAACTATTGCTGTAATCTGTTGGCCCTACTTGCAAAATGTATCCCAAGTATAACCACTTCTCACAACCTCCACCACTATCATCCATGTTCAAACATTATCATCTCTATCCCAGAAAAATGAAATAGCCTCTTATAAGGTTTCTCTGTTTCCATTATCTTTAGAAATTAAAAATATAAACCTAGAGAATGTAATTTTTTAATCAATTATGTTTCGAAATGCAATGTGAATTTTTATAAAATGTTTTCTCTTAAGAAGAGAAATCAATGGTAGGTTTCATTTACTTTTGGAAAACAATCATTTAAATACCACCTAACCAAAGGGTATTGCAAGGTAAAAATTTTATAAGCTTTTTGAAAAAATACAGACCAGTCTCTGCTTACATATTACAATAGAGAAATCATCATCTTAAATACAGCCTAAATGATGGTTCGACACTTTAAATGTTTAAAAAGATATTTCTGATTTTGAGTTGAGTTCCTCTCTGTAACTTCTATGGAAGATTTCCACAAGTTTTCTTCTCTTTCAGGTGAAAAACCTTCAAATGTTTGAAGTGTAGTATATCTCCCTCTTTTTTCTATTCCTGAGTCTTCTCTTTTCCAGAGTAAACACTGAGATATTTTAAAAATTCTTGAGGGCCTCCCCTGGTGGCGCAGGCGGTTGAGCGCAGTGCTGTGAAGCTGTCCTGCAGCCTCTGCAGCGCCAGTTTGATCCCGGCAGGCCTGCGAGGGTCCCACATGGCGCTGCAGCTGCAGACCTCTCTTGTTGCGCCTGCTGCTCCCCTCAGCAGTGTATTTGGTCAGTCTGCCTGTTCTGCTCCCCACTCTGTCTCTGGTGAATCCTCTCACCCTCCCGCAAATTTGGCCTGTACCCCGGTTCTTGTATAAATAAATAAATAAATCTTAAAAAAAATAAAAATTCTTTTTATCAACTGATTTTCAGATCCTTCATAATTCTATAGCTTGCCTACAAACATCATAAACTAAGGTAAATGATGAGGGAGACGGAAAAAAAAAAGTGGTGACAATATAACCGAAGCGATCAGTTTATACTGGTTTGTTAAATTTATTCACCAGAACATTACATTTAATTAATGTAGTTAAGACTGAACTGGATTTCTTCTAAGTCATTTTCATTAGCCATTTTCACTATTAACTCAGATGAAATCTGTATTCAAATAAAGCCCATTCACCTAAAAGGCTGGAAATTGCATTGCTGATAAGTGAAATTAGAACACACAAAAAAAGTTCGGTACCTTCTGTAAAATATTCCCTAAAAATTCTCACCTACAAAAACTTATTCAGTTCAATGAATTAGTTTTTGTTTGCCTTTTTGGGGAGGGGAGGGAGTCAATTAATTTGCAAAACATCATAATAAATTATAATAAAATACAGAAGAATAAAGAAAAATTTGTTAAAAACTATACCTATATTTAATTTAAACAGATTTTTACCTTCAGAAATATTTGTTTTTACAGTAAAGTCGTCTGGAGTTAATATAAAATTTAGCCACCAAGTGAAGCCCTTTTCCTGCTTTTCCTTCCACCGTTCATCATAAAACATGTTTTTAGCAGCAAATGGCATTGGGTGTCTGGGAATATCTGAGAAAATAATTCGGTTATTGAATAAGAAATTTTCCTTTATTATGTGTTATACTGCAACAGGCCATCTTGATTAGCCATTTTATTACCATCAAAATACTGAACAATATTTGCTTTTCCATTACTTGCTAGAAGTAGTTGAAAACATTTTGGGTACAAAATGCAAAAAAGGGAAACAGTGAGGTAGCACCCCCCAGTTATTTGAAATCCTAAGTCAAGGTGAGTCAATTTCATTAAAATCTGTTGGAATGCCCTATTTGTTATCTGAGTACATGATTCTTCAAAGCTTATATTCAACAAAAAAGCATCAAGTAATTTCCATCTAATTACACAGAAATTGTAATTAACCTTCACTAAAGGTTAAATGAAATGTAATTAATTTTTATTTCAAGTTGGTTTTTCAGACTCTAAAGATAATAAACACTTGCCTATTTTCAAAGGTTTTATGAAGGTCAAACTGGCCTGAGCCACAGCAACAGAGGGTCTTGTCCTTTTTTTGGTTTTATAATGAGGAGTTCTGTTTACTAGTGAATCTGAAATAAATGAGAAAGCAGAATAGTGTTAAAAGATATAGTTCCCTGAATGAGCTGTTACAAAGTTAAAGTTTGTGTTCTTCACAATCATAATCATTAAATATTGGCTAACTACTAGACTCTGGTACTATGCTATAAGCTCAGCGGCCAACAGTAACTTCATCTGGAAACTATAGAACAGAACTTATAATAATTTATGTTGTGTCTATAAAGGCTATGGTTCAAATTCAACTGCATTTTATTGTGTGCATATATTCTAGATTCTGTGCTAGGTGCCGAGACTGCAAAATTGAAAAATATGATCTCAACCCTTAGAAGTTCTCACTATGCTACATGAATTTAAAAAGAATTATAACATTTCATGTAAAGGCAAAGTATATATGATAAGATTTATGAGAACAAGGAAAAGAGAGAGCTAACTTTTTCTAAAAAGGTAGGAGAGTCTTTCAAATCAGGAATACACTTTAGATGACTTTTTTTATTTTCATTTTTATACAATGTTTGATTTCTCCTTTGAAATAACACTTAAAGTGGATGTTAGGCCTGAGGAATGTTACTCTGTTGACAGAACTGCAATATAGCTGAGGCAGAGAATACATACAAGAAAAATAATATAAAAAGAAGAGATTGATAAGATTTCAATAATATTAAAAAATAGTATTAACCCCTAATATTTGAATTTGTGCCAGGCACTATCATAGTTTTTTTTTGTCTCAAAATAGATTTCTTCCTGTAATCATTACAACAAACTTGTGAGAATTATAATACTATCATTCGCATTTTATTATATAGTTAGAATATTGGTGCTTAGAGTAATGAAACCACATGGTCATGGTCACACAAGCTAGTCACAGTTAGGATAAGAATCTGGATAGTATATGTTCCAGAGCCTGGGCTATTAACAGTTTGGAGTACCTAGTATGCAAGGAGGATTTAAAATCTAGGAAGCAGATTTCAACACTTATCATTTATAAATGTATTATCAACTATATTTTAGAAAACAGCATGGACAAGGAATGAAAGAAGTTGACATCAGAAAGAGAAAGCTAAAAGGAGGCTACTGTTATGACTCAAGTTAGTGAGACTGAGAATTTAAACCAGAGGCAGTGGAGACGAACAAGAATTATTTTAATATTAAACCAACAATCCTTAATAACCAAATGTCAGGGCCTCCCCGGTGGCGCAGCAGGTTGAACACAGCGCTGTGGCTGTGAAGCTGTCTGCAGCCTCTACAGTGCAGGTTTGATTCCCCGCCAGCCAGGGAGATTCCCACATGGTGCGGCAGACCTCTCCTGTCTTGCCCGCTGTTCTCCTCAGCAGTGCTTTTGGACAGTCTGCCTTTTGTTTCCCATTCTGTCTCTGGTGAATTCTCTCACCCTCCCATACCTCTGGCCTGTACCCCAGCTATCGTATAAATAAAAAATAAATCTTTAAAAAAAAAATAACCAAATGTCTAGGTAAGTGGTGGCAAATGAGAACTCTAGTGATGGAGAGTGAGATGGAGAAAGAGATTTCCAGATATCTAACCCAGGTGACTGAGGTCAGTAGAAGGTGGTAGTTACCTACAATGGAGAATGCAAAGTCACCTTGGCAATTAAGCTCTTAGTATAGCTGCTCCCTTCCTCAAAAGCAGCTATCACACCAGCTTATACTGCTACTAAATATGAACAAGGAACAAATAAAAGTGGGCAAACTATGGACTCTTGACATCCAAATTTTAGTGTACATAAATAAAATTTTATTGAAACACAACCACACTCATTCACTTATATATTATCTATGACTATTTTCCTTCTACAGTGACAGGGTTCAATAGTTGCAATAAGGAACATATGACCTGCAAACCTAAAAATTTACTACCTGGATCTTTACAGAAAAAAATTGATTAATTTGATTTAGAGGGATCACAAATGTATGCCAATTGTAAAAATAAGGAACATGACTAAAATGTAACATATTTATTAGGTTATAAGGCTCTTTATATTTGAATATTTTTAAAATAAAAAAACGAGAAGCAATTTCTTATTTGGAAACTTTGTAGAAGCTAGTTCCTCTGCAGGCAACCATTTTATTCAATGGGGAGACTTTTTTGAACTACCTCACAACTCTTTAGCCATTCACACATGTCAAGTGAAGTGTGTCCATATCTTCTCTTTCATGACTCCCTGTGCACAGTTCCATTAGAGGGCTGAGAACAACACAAGGATGGGAATTACGTACCTTTTCTCCATGTATCGACAGAGCCTCGACCAATGTCTAGCACATAGCTGGCACCTTAACAATGCTTAATAAATAAGTCTGGAAAAATTGGCTTCTTTCTCTGCTCTCTTTGGTAGGTTAGGCTAGAAAGAAACTTTGAGCCGTTCATTCTTAGTGAATTGCCAAACTCTCATACTTGGCTCATACATTTAGATACCTAATGTGTTCAATATTCTCTAAACCTAGAAAACAGGTTGAACTAGGTGGCCATCTCAAACAAATTGTAGGTCCAAATGTCAACACTTCAGTGGTTCAATTGCTCATTCATTCATTTCCAAAGTCATTCATTCATATGATATTTTGGATCTTGCTGAAGATTAAAAAGGATATGTTTCTTATTATCAAAGAATTTATGTAGCCAGAATATAGCTACAGGATACAAGAAAACAACATAAGCAAAGAAATAGAGTTAACATGTAGGTAGAAGATATCATATATGCCTATTCAAAGTTGCTAAAGGAACGTAACTAGAGAGAAAACTCATCAGGGAAAAACCGTTAATAAAAGTTGTTTATAGTCCTTGAAACAAGTGAAAGATCTGAATTCATGAGAAACAACAGATAAGAAAGTAAGAGGATAAATGAACAGAAGGGTAACACTAGAAAGGCTAGACAACCGTGGAATAAGATATCAGATCGCATAAGTAGAGATCACATGAAGATATCTTCAAAGACAGAATAACAAATTTGTATATCATCTCGTAATAGCAGGGAGCCATTGAAGGTCCCTGAGCAAGGAAGTAGGGAGTACACATATTGGACAGCACCCAGTACCTCTATTTACCCTGGCATATCAGAGATTTGAGGTCAGATGATCCAAGTCAAAGAAAAAATGCTGGAGTTGGATATCTAGAGAAAATGCTGAAATTGTAAAGATGGTTATTGGAGAGGGTGATGCTTTTAAAAAAGTATGGCCTAAGCAGGTAAGCCCAGGAAATTGGAAGGATCATCTACTAGGATTACATAAAGAATAACAACAGTTAGCAGTTCTGGAGGATAATCATGAGCCAGATGTAAAAATCTATAGAGCAATATTTCACTGACATAGGAGCAACATGGGGTAATATGAAAAAGTTGCTTCGAGCTGTTTATTGCTGTTGGTTTTCATTTATTTTTAAGGAAGAAAAGAGTACAATGCTTTGGAAGTAGCTCTAAGAAGGAAGCTGCCACTATCCTGCAAGGAACCCCAAAGTCAGAAAAAATAGATAAAATATAATTGAGAAGTTGCACTGAAACTGTTCCTAAGGGAGAGTGAAGTTTGGTAAGGCCACAAAATGAGAGAAAAGTCAGAGGCCACAATTTAAAGCTAGAATTATATAGAAAATGGTTCAAATTAGGGATGTTCAAATAAAATTTAAAATACAGATGTGGGGTATTTCTTAGGCATTGTAGAAGTCTAAATTATCTAAATTATCTGTTAAATGACTAGTTGGCTTGTTTTCCTGCTTGGCTTCCAAAATGGGATTAGCCTTGACTGCTTTTGAGCAGGCAGTAATTAGACCATTAGAGAAGGAACGAGGTTTTCCCAAAGGAATGTACAGCTCTGGGTCCTATCTTGATTCTTAACTAATGGCTGAATAAGTGCTAAGGAAGAATAAGTCACTGGAAGCATAGGTAAACAAAGGTCTCTTCTGCAGGCCTCAGGAGGTATTGTAAGGGCCAGGCATTTATTGGGCCTTACAATCAGGGCCTGGACTAAGGTGAAGCAAGTAGAAAAAGTAGTTCTCTTGGGCACAAAACTTGAGAGGATGTGAAAAAACTCAGTAATCAAGATTATCATTTTAATGTACCATTTCAAAATCTAAATTAATGCAGAAAAATTATGATGAACAGAATATCAAGTTTTAAATAAGATCACAACTATTTCACAATTCAGCCCTATATTCCATTTCCATTAAGCAAATTAAAAGTACAAGTCAATTCAAGCTTAGCAACAGCAAATTTACTAAATCAAAAGAAACAGAAAATAGGGCCTCCCGGGTGACCCAGTGGGTTGAGTGCCATGCTGTGAAGCTGTCCACAGCCTCTGCAGCTCCAGTTTCATCCCCGGCTGGCCAGGGAGATACCTACATGGTGCGGCAGACTTCTCTTGCCTCACCCGCTGCTCCCTGCTCTGTGTCTGGTGAATTCTCTCACCCTCCCGTGCCTCTGGTCTGTACCCCAGTTCTTGAATAAATAAATCTTAAAAAAAACAACAACAGAAAATAATGTCTTTTATAAAAAAGACTTACTGGTTTTCTTCTTCAGGTTCAATTTGTCTCTGTGAGTACGTTTTGATATGGGCGTTATCACCTTTTTTGTTTTTTTAACAGTTGAAGACTCCATAGGAGAAAAGTGGATTCTTTTCATTTCTTGGACTTCTGTATGTTCCATAACTGTCACCCTCACATCTGCATTTTCCGTGTTTCTCTCGCTCTTTCTTTTAAGAGCACCTAAAAGTGTCTTTGAGGAAGGTGTTATTCCATTTCTGTAACTCTTACATTTACTTAATTGTGGCTGTATAATGGGAAGATATTGATGAAAAGTATCTTTCTCTTTATGATTATCTATTACTCTTTCACATTTACTTACAGCAGTGTTGAAACATCTTTTTGCCTTCTGTTTATCAGTATTAGTTTGGCTTCCTCCTGCACATGCGGGCTTCCTTTTGGTAATAGTGGCGGAAAGTATTGGCCTTTTCTTTAGTTGTTTCTCTTGGCTGTAACTAGAAATCTCCTGAGCTGCCAAACATTTAGGCTGATTTTTTTGTGTAAAACTATAATAATTTGACTTCATTTCTACAGTATTGGATTCTTCAAAAATAGCTTTGGGAGATTTTCGGTCCTGACATTCAGGAATGCAAGGTAAAACTTCATTTTTTCTCCAGTCTTGAGAATTTTCATTTGGTAATGGTGATAATTTACTTGTTTCCTGAGAGGTACGTAAGTAGGCCATATTATCTTTTACAAATTGATTTGGGGATAGAATGGGATGAATTGACTCTGATTCCAGCTCTGGATTTAGTTCATAATTACCATTTATGAAAGAATCTGGACTTAAAATTGTACGGTAAATCTGATGTACAATTTTTGATTCCAAATGCACAGGCCTTGAATTATCTTTCATAAATGTATCTGATGAAATTGTCACTAATCCCAGTTCATTATTAACTGCATGGCAATTGGTCACAAAAGAATCTGGACTTAAAAAATTTCCTTGGTTTTGTGTAATATTCAAAGTTGAAGAACAGCTTGGGGTAAGACTAAGTTTACTTTCGTCAATGTGGTCATTAATACTATTTATAGAGTTAAAGGAAGTTTCAGTTATAACTTTTTCATTAAAATCTTTTGGAATGTTAACACCTTCTGCTTTCAATAGTTCCTCATTTTCAGATAAAGGAAGAGATGTATAAGTAGTAGATCGACGTATACAGAGTGGCAAGCAAGTCTCACCATGGCATTCTTTAAAAGTGGAGCTAATAGGTGATAAGGGTATTTCATTTTCAAGAATTAAAGAATGGTTTTCTGTTGGGGAACAGCTTTCATTCATAGCAAAGTTTTCACAGGGTTGTAGTGGGCTCCTAACTCTTTCAACTTTTTGGGAAACACTAAATGTCTTATTAACATTTTGAGCATATGCAGTTCTCTTGCTGTGACTTGAAGAGGCTGATACTTTGTTCTTATTAATGGTACCCCAAAGACTCCTCTGCAGAAATAAACAAAACATATAGATTAAGTTAACAGCTACTGAATATTACCTTAAAATAAGGAATATTATGCTCCTTCAAGATGGTTATCAAAATAACTTTCACATATTATTGAATATTTTCTTAGAATAAGTCATAGAATGATTAAAATATATTACCTTTTTCTTTTTATTCTCTTCTGCATTTCCTAGTAATATGGCTTGGTGTTTCAGAACATCATTTACAAGAAATACCACAATCTCTCTTACTCGGCCTTCTTTAATAGGTGTCCAGTTGACAGAAATAACAATTTTTTCTTTAGGCTATAATCAAAAGATATCAGCATAGAATATAATACACGGTTAATAGTTATTGGTGATCAACACTCTACACCCTAATAACATTTAACAAATTGCTATATAATTTTCCCTACCCTAACTTCTCATTCATTCATTGTAAGGGAAAAAGTCGCTAATAATAAAAAGGTTCAAACAAGTAAAATTATAATAAAATATTAAATGTATATGAAAGCAATAGAATAGTCTGCACATCATATTGTTTCTTTCAATTTTCATTACATATTTTCCTTCTTTAGCATTTGTACAGCATTAGGACTTGATACAAATAGAATCATGCAATTTGTGAACTAAAAAATTAATTTGTATAGTATTTCTATTGCAAATATAATGATTTTATGGTTTGATGACTTTTTCAAAAAGAAATGTAATGATGATCAGCCAACTAACTTGCTCCTTCCAAATTCCTACAAAGTCCATATCATCATCATTACTGATATATTTTCAAAATTATTTATTTATATATATTTTACATCAATGTTCATTTTTGTACAATGTTTGCTCTCTTTTCTCAGGTGTAGTCCCTATAAAATTCTCACCACCAATTTACCAGTGCACAATCACCATAGTCCCTTATGCTCTCCAGCCCTCTTTTGATCCCTCTTCCTCCTCCTCCCCTGCAGAATGTCTCCTATTTATAGTTTCCTCTTTGTTTTTTTATTGTTATTATTATATTTTCTTTTTTTGCAAAAGTAGATGTTGGGTTCCAGGCATACTGTCAGGCATCTTATTTACTTCATTTATCCTTACATCTCCAGGAGGCAGTGAGTATGCACATTTTATAGATGAAGTAACTTAGACCCAGAAAGCTTTATGTATTTTGCCAAAATCATACAGCTAGTGATTCAAACCCAGGCAGTCTGACTCCAGAGCACACACTTTACCACCTACACCCTACAACCTGGCAGGATCAAATGTAAAACCCTCACATGACAAAGCAAACTGTGTCTCTTGTTTTTCCAAGGAAAAAGACAAATTTTGTTTTGAAGGAGAAGCCATATAACATCATAAACAGCTGATTTAAAAATAACAGTAATCTTTTACTTATAAAAGCAGTAAATTTTTAAAAATCCCCCAAAAATTTCAAAAACCCCAAAAAAGCCTTTAGTTCCACCTATCAAAGAATAAGTAAAAGTGTTACATAGACAGACAACAAACATCTCTTTCTCTAGAAAAGTAACAAGTCATAGACTATAGGGGTGAGGCAGGTTCTGAAATGTGGCTGTGCAGATTGGTTACACACCAGTTCATGGATCTCAAACCAGAGCTGCTTCCCCCTACCTTGTGAAGCAGTTACTCGGCTAACTGCTCACACGCCCTCAACTCATGGTCTATCTTCATACGTGCAGGGGTTTTACGCGGTGGAAAACCCACAGTAGTCACAATAAGAACCCAAATTCTCTGCTTTTTGGTGACAGGGGTGGGAATGCTACTCTGGTCAATGCACTGCAGAAAAAACTGCAGGGGGAGTTACTGAAACCACATGCATAAACTTAGTGCAGCGACACAGACATTTATTCTCCAGGGGGCTGGTGACCTGAGGCTCCCCGCCCAGCCGCGCTCGCCCCTCAGCAGAGACCAGAGAGCTACCTCCCAAGGACGGCGCCAGCGCCCGGCCCGCGCCCCGGCCGCCGCCCTCGCTGGCTCCCGCAGCCGCGCGCCGCGCCGGGACTCACCTGCAGCACGAAAAAGCGGCGCGAGACGCTGAAGCCGCGGTCGGGGGCCGGGAAGCGCTGGATCTTCACCTCAGCCACCTCCTCGTTCGGGTTGGCCAGGGCCAGCCCCAGCGTCCGCGAGGCGCCCGGGCGCACGTCCCCGAAGCAGAGAAAAGGCGACCGGCAGAAATGGCTGAGGGACAGGACCGGCGGGGACGCCGCCTCCCCCGGGGCAGCCGCGCCGCGGGGCCGCCGCGCCTCCCCCGGGCTCACCTCCCAGCGGCTGCGGCCCGCTCGCCGCGTCGCCATGGCCGCTCGAGACCCCGCCGCCCCGGCCCGACTCCCGGGAGGCCCGGGAAGGAGGGCGACTGCTGACCCTCGGGGCGGCCGAGCGGGTGGAGGGGGCGAATTCGACCGCCTGCCGTCCCCAGCGGCAACACCCCAGGGGGAGGGAAGCAAATGCCAGCAACGCAGCCAACTGCGGATGCTGCAGACTCTGAGGAGCAAAACAGAGTGCGCCTGCGGTTCCGTTTAAACTTCCCGCCTCCGCCAATCAGCACCTCTGGGACGCGCCCACCTCCCCCTCAGGCCAATCAATGAGCAGCAGCCACTGACCAATGAGAAGGCAGCGCCTTATTTAAATGATTGCGTTGGCCAGTTCTGGAGTCACCTCTGACTATACCTTGTTTTCTTTCTGCTATTGCTAATAAACCTGTCCTTTTTATATGGGGGCTGGGGGTGAGACACAGGGCAAACTAGGAATTAGGCAGTTTTAGGGACACTGCAGGAGGGGACCTCGGAGAACTGAGGAAGGCTTCAGAGATAAGGGCAGCAAGAGGAATGTAACTAATTCCACCTGGAAAAACAAACATCCCAGAACCAAGGACTACATTGTTAACGCTGGCCTTGGTTTCCTTCAGTGGTAAAGGGAGGCAGAGATTGGAGAAATGGAGAGTGGTTTAATTTATGGACAACTTAGAAAGGCAGCTGTTTAACTTCAATGCAGAGATGCTCATCCAAGGACTGGGCCATAAAGATAAAGAAATAACAAATGGGGAAAGAGAAAGCTGTTAGATAAGGAATGTGAAGATCCCCTGCTTAGTAGCAAATTAAGTGAAACAGCCGAGAACTAACCAATCACAGAAAGACTGGTGGAACTTTAGAATAATTAGGGAAAGAAGGTATATATTCCCTGAGACACAACTCCACTTTGGCTTCCTTGCCCCTCCCAGGCCTGGTTTCATGGCCTGGGAGTCCTGCTTTATTTCTGTACTTTTCAATAAACTTTTTCTTTCTCTAAACAAACCTGCCTCTTCTCGCTTTCTTGCCTGAGAGTCTGCGAAGTTCCTGCTGCGGCTTCGTGAGACACCAACCTGTGGGGGTCTAGTGGCTGGGACTCAGCGCTGCCCCTGCAGCCTGGGATCCGTTCCTGGCTGGGAGACTAGGCCTGACAATTCCGGTATCAGGGCGAAGGAGATTGCATTGGCTCCAAGTTACTTTCTCCTGGTAGGGGAACTTTGGGTCACCTTGGTAAAACAAGGGTCTTAGAATTGAAATTTCTCTTTAATTTTGTAAACAGGTTATGTTGAAAAGATAGTAACATTTTCATAATAAACAGAGCAATCCTTGTAGATGCCTACTACAACCTTAGGCAAAACTGTTAAGGAGGCAAAAACTAATCTGTCCTTTCTCCCATCCAATATACCCCGCTCAGAATTAAATTTGTTAGCTTTACCTTTGCGGTTTCCTGGAGCAGAATGAGAGAGAAACGAAGTCAAATTAAGAGTTTGTGTAACATACTGATTTTAGTGACTGACCATAGCAGGGGCTCAGAAAATGTACATACTGCTTCTTACCTCTGGATATTTGAAGCAAAACTAGATGCGCATGAAACTGAGCTTCTCAATAATCAGTAAGTGGTTTTGACAGGCAATGCCTTGACAAATGACTTCTTGGTTTTGATTTTAGTTGTAGGTATCTTTTAGCAATATTTCTAGCTTTGATACGAAGTTTAGTATAATTTGTTATGCAGCAATAATAAGTATCCTAGACATTGCCTCTAATTGCAAGACTTAGTTAGCAGAAATGGGCTCATCTGTGAAGAATTTACTATCCTCCTAACATACCGATGGAACTGCCTGCTGCAGGCTCAGTTATGGTGCCAGATGGAGACAAGAAGTTACAAGTTTGAGACAGGTCCTGTAACATAGCTTTTGCCTTAGACTAGCAATGGCCTTCCCCATGACCAGAATGTATGGTTCTGAGGTCAAGGGAAGAATGGTCCATCACTCTTGCATTAATGAGACTCTGCTACATTTCAGGCTTCTAAAAATCAGCGCGACTAATTCAATCATAATAGTCATTATTAATATTTAAACTTAATTAGCCACTTAGAACCCATTAACTTAATGGTATACATATAATATATAAAGTATTTCAAATATCTAGTTTATGAGAAATGAGTAACATAAAAATGTGCAAGATACCTGCCTTTTGATTTGTTCATGGTCTCTGCATTCTTTTTTTTTTTTTTTTAAGATTTATTTATTTATTTTTACAAGCACTGGGTACAGTCAGTAGTGTGGGAGGGTGAGAGAATTCACCAGAGCCAGAGCGGAGAGGAGAATAGGCAGACTGACGAAGTACACTGCTGAGGGTAACAGCGGGCAGCAGGAGAGGTTTGCGCGCCATGTGGGACCCTCGCGGGCAGACGGGGATAGAACTGGTGCTGCAGAGGCTGCGGGCAGCTTCGCAACCCAGCGCTCAACTGCTGCACCACTGAGGAGGCCCTGCATTCAATTTTTAAGGAGACAAGCATTCCCATGCTGTGAAAATGTGTTCAATAAAATCTAGGTAAGCTTTATTAGGACCAAAGGACTTTATATTTATTTTAAATATCAAAATAACACAAAGAACTAGTTCAATATACAATACACTTTCTATTTTTCACAGAGAACTGAATTTAATAGACATTTGTACTTAAGAAACACAAGACAGCCAAAATATCTATAAAACTCACAAGATACTTTACAGTTGACAAAATAACAAATTTTGATATTTTAGATATTTCTTTGTAATTGCTTTTAAAAGTGTCCTTAATGATTAAAAACAAAACCTCTGATTTGAGACTGAAAATGAAATTCAAAAGCATTTCCACTTTAATGTACATCATAAATCCCCTTAATCAGAACATTTACTGTACAACATGGAGCAACTAAATGCCCACCTCTCTACTCATTTTCGTGGCAGCCCTAATCACCAACTGTAATGCAGTATCATCTATAGGGGTAAGAGTCTGATTGTTGGAATCAAAACTGTAATTACACCACAGTACACTGTCCAAATGAACACAAGCAGGAATACAAAGCAAATAGGTAAAATAACATTGAGATGCACACATGCTCTTCATTCAAGAAATATTTTTGAATCTCTAATAGTAACAAGGACTGAATTATTTCTTTACCTACGAATTTGAGTTAAAAAAAAAAGCGGTCTGTTCATCCTTGTATAATCTCTATTCTCTGAATACTTCTTAATTTCTTTATGTATAAATGGCTGCAGAGGCTAAATTTAAAATGTTTTGAGATTTCTCAATAGTTATAGACTTTAACGTCCATACACGGCAAGTTGAAACATGAGTAAACAAAGCATAGGCACTCTTTCTACCAAAATAGTGTTTCTCTCATCGTTCCACAACCTAACCCTATTACTTCTACTTTAAATGCTACTTCCACAGAGGAAGAGCAGAAAGCATGCTAATAATCTAGCATATAAGTATCTTTTAGTAGAAATAATCTTAGGGGAAGTAAGAGGGTGACCCCTCTCCCCAAAAAAACTTTACTGAGACTTTACTGAGAGAAATGTGCAAAAGGGAAGAACTGTCCATAGTTGCTAAAAATTGTTTAGAAAATTATGCTCACATTACCCATTATTCACTCTCAATAGCAAATAACATTTACATTTACTATTGAAAGTTTCAAAAATGCTACTTACTCCTTATTAAAGAACACATTTCAAATTTGGCACGAATCTTAGAGATAATCAAATATGACTTTTCAAGTCTGATTTTTTCCTGAGTTCATCAACTCAAGTTGTAAGTTATTTGGGGTGTGGCTGCTCCTAATGAGAAACTCACCTGAAAGCATCATCTCTTGTTCAGTTTTAGGCAAAGTGAAATAAGAAGGCTTTCAGTGTGATTATGTGTTCTTTTGAAAGGGTGGGTGGCTAGGAGGGAGGAACAGAGAGGCAGACAGACCACTCATTTTTTTTTTTTTTGGTCAGATTCCTCTAATAAGTATCTAGAGACAGGCCCAGGAGTGGCTTCACAGTAACTATAAAGGCCACAATTGAGATTAAACAAACAAATGTTCATACTAGTACTTAGTGCCAGTTTCCCTACATAAACATAAAGCATCCAAAAAAGTGTTCCTGACCAGCAGGTAACACAAACATAAAAGTCATAACAACAAAATTATTTACTAACAAGTACAATCTAACCAGCAGGAACAACACTAAGCAACTACAACACATTGAAAAGGCACAAAGCATTCAATCCAGAAAATACTGGGTATAAAAAGGACACTGTCAAAGAGTTACTGCTCCAAATCTGACTTTTCATCAATGACATATTAGAATGATCTCATAGGAAGAGAATTCAAACTTATAAACATAACAGTTTGTTTTTAAATTCATTTGCAACTATAGAGTGAAAAGCAATGAATAATATTTAATTACATATTAGCCCTTAACTAATGGTTTATAGTCACTCTGCAAAGATGTTTTGACACTTTGAAGGTTGACAGAAAATTATTAGTGTACCTATTTCATGACCTACCATCACTTAAATGGATGTCACTTTATAAAGCACCAATTTAAAACCCTATTTTTGCTACTCCACTTCTCTCAGCAATTAATGGATGCAAAGATCAATACCTTTACAGTTGTTGGTTAAATCTTACTGTAAGAACAAACCTAACCTAAAATGAGATTTTAGGCTGCAAAAGATTAGGTTTCTTGTCTTACAAAAATAACTTCAAATTGTCTTAAAAAAAATCTAAGGCAAAATTATTTTAATAGTGTAGTGTAAAAAATAAGTATATTACTTAGCATGTGATAGTGTCAACTTAAAAGATAACCTTCAATTAATTAAACTAAAGAAAACTGAGTATTTTTACTTGTAGTTGGTTTGTCAGTATGACTATTCCCAGAGTATTTCTTCTGTTCTTATTTTTACACATATAAACACAAACACTTAATACTTAATCTTAGTATTCAAACTAATGATTTTTTAAAAAATTCATAATCCTAGGACTTCAACTGTGCTTCTTTGGACAGATATTTATGCAAACAACAAAGAATTTAAATTCTTTAAATTTTTTTAATACCTACTAAAAATCTTTGGTGCATTTAAGTAAAAACCAATTTACACTAACAAATTTCTACACTTGATAAATTATTCAATTTACATATTAAGTGCTAACTGCTATCAACTAAAATTAATTTAAAGCAATAAATTATGCTTATAAAATAAAAAATTCTAAATGAGGCTGAAATTAGTTGCAAGATTCAAAATTTTCAGTTATAGAATTCATGGATTTTAGAGTTAAAGAAAAATTTGCTCAAATATTGCAAAAGGTTAACTGAAAAGTATAGGCCTCACTTCATACTTTTTTTTTTTTTGCCAATTTAAAAACCTTATATACATTCAGTTTGCCCAAATCCATGAGGTTTCACAATTTAAAAATAACTTATATTCTAATTTGGAAATCAGAGGCAGCAGTTTTTTCTGTTTGCTTACTCACTGAGGCTATTTCTTCGCAAGAATTGTCCTACCTGCCTCCCAGACTGTTTAAGATTACATGAGAAATGTAGTGCCTGGCACACAATAAGCATTCATTAATGCTAGCTTTCTTCCCTTACTTGTAGCTCTGCCACTTAACTATGAGCTTTATCAAGTTCTTTTATCAATCTCAAGTTCTTTATCTCTAAAATGGAAATACAGCATGTTGATTCTACTTCAAAACTGGTTATGAGGTTTACATGAGAAAATGTATGTGAAAGAATTTACAAAACAGTAAACCACTATTAAGTTAGCTACAATAATAACTAAACACAATTATATTCCACTTTATATACGAGATGTATTCAGGAAAGTTCTATACTGTAAACCAATTCCTACAATCAAATCATATCGTTAAAAGAATTAGATTATTATTAAAAGAATCCTAAATATCTTCAAAAAGCATACTATTCTTTTCAAAGTGAAAACGCAACAACGTTTTATTCTGCTACCAAACATTGTATACCATACACATACACATATTTACCATTGGCCTTTTTTTAAGTCCCACTTTTTCTATGTAGGCTTATCTGTAAGGTAGGGTACATTTTTTAAGTATGTTTTTGTTTCAGTCTAGTAGGATTTTTTAATTAAAATCTTGCAAGTCTTTATGACAAAAGTCATAAAGATGTATATTTTTAAAAAGGTCAAATTGAAAGACTAATAGTACCACATGTAATCAAGTTCTTTCATATAAGTACCCCAGATATAACATTTCCACACAAAAGTTAAGAATGCTTTAAAAAGAATACATTAATTATAAATGAGGCCAATGAGGTTTTATTATTTATATGAGTTACTTTGGTTAACTGCCTCAATTCTCAACATTTTTTTCTTTTCCTTTAGTTTCACTAGTATGGTGAATATTTCCTTAAGTACCTTCCTTTCTTAAGTGCTTCAGCAAACAGTTTTATTCATTAAGGGGTTAAATTTTATTCATTAAAAGTTAATTATTTTATTTGTGATATTTTTTCACAAGGGTTGGGCCAGACTTAACAGTTTACACACAAAAAAGTGCTTAAAGCAATTAGGAGTGTAAACAAAACTGAAAGAGAAAACTCTTAAAATTGCTATTTTTCCAGTAGTTTACCTACAAATGTCATGCAAATAATAAAGCAACCCTGCCTATTCTAATCCTTCAAGCAGCTCTACTAGGAAACATTATCCTAGTTTAAGTTTAAATTGACTTGAAAATATGGAAAGTGCACATCTTCAAAAGTATTTTATAATTTTGACTGATTTTATCCTCAATTAATCTTATTCAGTGAGGTTTTGCTGTAACTGCTAGTTTCTTTCACCAAGTCCTCATCTTTTATCCCATATAAAAATAAAAATCAAGAGTAATTACAGACATTTGGCGTATATGAAAAGCAAAAATAAAGATCTAGATTACATGTAAATCTGTATACAAATAGTGGTTCCCTTTGATTAAAGTAAACAGCATTAAGTTTAGTTAGATGAGAGTTTTATCATTTGTTTGGCACCATTTCTAACAATTATACATGAAATATCTAGGTCCTGTTTCCCAGAGTTTCAATTAGCCAAGGTAACTGAGACCAAAAATAGCCTGTTCATAAAATTTCATTAATTAGTTATAACTGTCCCTTGTTAGTGAGATGAAGATAGATACTGTGAAATACTGTTGGTGCTTCTGAAATAAATGAAAAAATACAAAAGGTGAACTTACTTTGAAAGATAGCTAGTTAAAACTGGCATCTTTTACTTTAACATATTTTCAACTTGTTAATGCCTAAGTCCTATATTTGCATTTCTTATTCATAATTGAAGTATAGGCAAAAAACAATCATTTGGGTAATTGTTCCAACTGGACATTACATTTAACAAGCTAATCTTTTATCAGTAAGCTTTCTGACATACAGTTTATCAAAAGTCCAAAGGATAATGATAACACAGAAATATCCAAGACTTTCTTATAAATACAAATTCCTAATTTCAATTTTCAAAATCTGGAAGAAATAACAGTGACTCTTAAACTAGTATCAGGAACAGTTGCAAATACCAGTATAGTCTTATATTCTTTCTTAAAGGCTACATCATCTTTAAACTTGTTTGGAAGATGGGCAAAGGAGAAATGAGACTGAAGAAGAGTAAAAATTTTCACTTACAATTAAAAAAAATACCCATATAATGTAGTAGCTAATAATTCTGAAAAGTTTGAGAAATCATTAAAAATTACTTCTAATCTTTAAAAATCACAAAAAAAGGTTCACTTCAAATATTATTTATGCCTGAAAATGTTTCCAAGCATGTATCTTGGTAAACAGATACTTTTTTTTCTTGATTTGAAATGGTTCTGAGGTCTTGAGAAACTAGAGAAAATAGCAGCCCTACTAAAAGTCATCAGCTCTAGGCTACCATTAGCAAATTACCATCAAAATAAGTCTGTGGAATGTTTAGATTTACTCATGAATGATGCTCATTATTAGAAATATTTTGTACAGTAGTAGTGTTATCAAGGCCCAATAATGTTCCAAGATAAGAATGTTCTCTAGGATCTAGCATTTGTTCTGGTCGGACTGGATGAACTATGTTTGCAGGTTGAGGAGTAAGAGTGTACTTTTCCAGAAAAGCTAAATCAGTTGCTCGTGGATAATCAGTTGATTGTGGCTGTGGTGACAAGATCTCATGAGAAGATGGTGGAAGTGTGGTAGTGTGACGCACCAGATCATTCTGAGTGTCAGGCATCTGAACTGGAACCAATGTTACTGGAACACATACTTCAGCAGATACATTCTGTAACATAGTCTTGGCTTCCGACTGATAAACTTTGGGCTGGTCCATATATTGTTTTGTTTCTGTTTGAAAGATTTTATCATCAGATGAGTACTCTACTGGCAAAGATACAAGTTTTTCCTCAGAAGTACTGAGAGGATCATCAGGAGATTTTATGCCATGAACATGGTCAATGTGGTATTTCAGCTTGTCTTTCCGCTTAAATGTTGCATTACAGTGCTGACAGTTGAAAGGTCGGGCATCAGAATGAATAACCAGGTGTTTTGTTAAAGTTTTCTTAATTCTAAAAGATTGATTGCAAATCTGACACTTGTATGGTTTTTCACCTGTATGAACAAAAATGAAATTAGGTGTAAAATGCACGCCAGATGGCAAGACAATTTTAAGCAGCAAACTGTCCATGTGAATACTTTCAAGAACTTAATAAAGTAGTAATATTATTATATGTTATCACCAAATAGAGACAGTATAGTAAGTTGGTAAAGAGAATTGTTTCAAACATCAAAAAGGTCTCTGATATCAAACTACACCACTTACTATCTGAACTTTGAGCAAGCTAACTTCTAAGCATAGTTTTCTCATCTGTCACATGGAATGCAGCACCCACTCCACAGAATTGGTGAATAGATTAAAAGACAAAATGAAGTAACAGCACTGTAGAACTGTACCTGGCACATGATAAATATTCCATAAACCTAGGCTATTACTGCTATTGCTTTTATTTTTGCTATACCCCCTAAAAAGTTGTAAAACCAAAACATTTGATTTGCTATCACTCAAAAAGGATACAATCAAAATTGTAACTGATTAATATGGATTTTTAGATTAAAATAAGTTGTGATACTTATCTTTAGCTTGAGATCAAAATGAGAGCTGTTTAGGGTAAAGAATAAGAAAGCTCTACCAGTTTCAATTCCTCCTGAGTCAGATTCTTACAAAGTAACTTTCTTTTATAAAAATGAAACATTATAAATTCCTAGGTTGGCCAGTCTGGTGGGTAGAATAATGGCTTCCCAATGATGCACTACCTGAAATGGGAGATTAACTGGGTTATCTAGGTGGGCCCAATCTAATTACACTAGTCTTTAAAAGTGACCAATAACTGAAGAGTAGGTCAGAGAGTAGCAATGAGATAACTCAATCTGGCATATTTTTCTTTGAAAATGAAAGAAGGGGACAAGGATACAAGAAAAGTGGCAACCTCTATTAGCTGGGAAAGGTCTCAGTGAGAAAACGATAACCTGGGTCCCGGTCCTACAACTTCAGAATGGTCTTACTAATAACCAAGATGGGCAGGCAACAAATTCTTTCCTAAAGACTCCATAAATTTTTGAGGACTTACTAACCAGCTAGATTTTAGCCTGGTATCAGACTTCTCACCTAAATTACAGGGTTGTAAGATCATAAATTTGTATTGTTGAAGCCATTAAGTCTGTGGTAATTTGTTACAGCAGCAACAAAAAAGTCATATGCCCCAAACATAGTGGTATTAAAATAGATACAAAGGCACACTTTAAAACTAACTAAAAGACTTTATATTAATTTACATGGGTTTGATGATATCATTATTTTGTTCATCTTTCCATTTAAAGCATCGCCAATCATCATAGAAAACTAAGAAATAAAGTATACCTTCAAGCCGAACACTAACATCAAGTAATTATTCATTAAATATTTATTATTTTGTAGTCTACTGATACATTCAAGTCTCAGTAACAGAAAATTTACACATACTGGGATATTGGGTTCCTGGTACTATTAGATTTCTATTTGTTTTTTGACTAGTATCATTAGTTGACTAGTATCATTTTTGACTAGTATCATGATGTCACTAGAAAGAAAGTGAAATATGACAACAATCTAATACATTATATAAAGGGTTAACATCCTTGAAAACAAAACATTTGCGGAGTGGGCGGAGCAACATGGCGGCGAGGAGACGCTGCTAGTAAGATCTCCCATTAAAAAAAGTTAATAGGGAGGAAAAGCGGCAGGTCCCAGTGAGAACTGGGACACGGAAGATAAACAGACGACTCCAGCAAACTGCCCAAAGAAGAAAGTGGCCATAAAAGAGGACGAGAAGGGAGGGAAGCGCAGAACCCTGCTCCCCTCCCCCGTCCACAGAGGCGGCACTCTCCGACCGGCAGAGAGGAGGAAACAACAAACCAAAACGGCCAACAAGAAAAACGGACACAGCAAGCGGGACTGTGAGTGGAAAGGAACTATTGCAGCCACCACACCCCGTGAACGGGAGCTGAGGCGAACCCTGCAGGATCCGCCGCGGAGGTGAGCTCCAGGCGCCATTAAAGAGAGCCCCGCCCAGGAGGAGACCAGCCCCAGCACACAGCCCCGGCCGCCCGGCTGCTTGAAACTGACAGATGACTCCTGGAAGAACCAGAGGGGAACAGAGAAGCCCACCCAAGATGCCGGCCAGTCCCAACAACACAGTGTCCCAACGCATACGGCAAATTAGAAAACAGACAGTAGGGAGGAGAAGAACCACACGCAACCTAGCAACTCTCCAGAGAAAAAGCACACCACAAAAAGAAAGCCAGCCCCCAGATTGCAAAGACAATAACTTGGAAGAATTTCTGAGCCTTCCAGAAAGAGAATTTAAAATTGCCGTGATTAAAAAACTGACAGAAGTCATAAAGGAAAACAATGATAAGGGAAAAATAATCAACGATCAGAAGAATGCAATTGAGTCCCTAGAGAGGGAAAACAATGGTCAGAAGAAAGAAATTGAGTCCCTAAAGAGGGAAGTAAAAGAAATGCAGGAGATCAAAGAATTAATGGAAGAACTAAAGAATTCTGGGAAAAGCAATGAAAGCAGAATAGATGAAATGGAAGAACGAATAAGTAATCTTGAAGACACAGAAATAAAAAGAACCAAAACAGAAAAGGAAAGAGAAGTACGAAGGAAAAAGAACGAAGAAAGACTTCGGGAACTATCTGACTCCATGAGGAAAGGAAATATAAGAGTTATAGGAATACCAGAAGGAGAGGAGAGAGATGTAGGAACAGAGAAAATATTCAAAGAGATAATTGAAGAGAACTTCCCAAATGTGAAGAAGGAGCTGAAAATTGATATACAAGAAGCAAGAAGAACACCAAACTTCCACGACAAAAGGAAAAATACAGCAAGACACATAATAGTAAAGCTCCCAAGAATCCAGGACAAGGAAAAAATAATGAAGCTGGCAAGAGGGAAGAAACAGATAACATTCAAAGGAAAACCAATCAGGCTGACATCAGACTTCTCTGAAGAAACACTACGGGCAAGGAGAGAGTGGAGGGACATAGTCAACAGACTCCAAGAAAACAGATGCCAACCAAGAATACTCTATCCCGCAAAGCTCTCCTTCCTCTTTGAAGAAAGAATATGGACCTTCCCAGACAAACAGAAACTCCGGAATTTCATTGCAACTAAACCCCCACTCCGAAAAATACTACAAGGAGTCCTAAAGCCAGAACCTCAGAGGGACGAATAACAATGAAAGAAGGCCAAAAAAAAAAAAAGTTATTAAAAGAATAAATAAATAAAATCAAAGGAAAGACAAACACAATGGCAAATACAGATGTTAACATATCAATATTAACTCTAAATGTAAATGGACTAAACTCTTCAATAAAAAGACACAGAGTGGCAGCCTGGATTAAGAAACAAAACCCAACCTTTTGCTGTCTCCAGGAAACACATTTAGCTACAAAAGATAAAAATAGGCTCAAAGTTAAAGGATGGAAAACAATCCTACAAGCAAATGGACCAAAAAGAAAGCAGGAACAGCTATACTTATATCAGATAAAACAGATTTCAAACTCAAAAAGATAAAAAGAGACCCCGATGGTCACTACATTATGATCAAGGGGACAATACTTCAAGAAGAAATAACACTCATTAACATATACTCACCAAACGAAGGAGCACCAAAATATATCAGACAACTGTTGTCCTCTCTGAAAACAGACATCAGAGAAAACACATACGTAGTGGGAGACTTCAACACACCACTATCAACAATGGATAGATCAACAAGACAAAAAATAAGTAAAGATACTAAAGCTCTAAATAAGGACCTAGAGCAATTAGGCTTAACAGACATCTATAGAACACTAAACCCCAAAAAAACGGAGTACACATTTTTCTCAAGCGCACACGGATCATTCTCCAGGATCGATCACATACTGGGGCACAAGACAAACATCAACAGATACACCAAGATTGAAATCATATCAACCATCTTTTCTAACCATGAAGGCATCAAACTAGAAATAAACCATAAAAAGAAGGCAAGGAACTTTCCTACCTCATGGAGATTAAAAACCACACTACTGGAAGACCATTGGACTAATGAGGAGATCAAAGAAGAAATTAAAAAATTTTTTGAATTGAACGACAAGGAGGACACTAATATCCTAAATGTATGGGATGCAGCAAAAGCAGTAATAAGAGGAAAATATATAGCAATAGAAGCTCACATCAAGAAACAAGAAAGAACGCAAAGAAACAACCTCATCTCGAAGCTCAAAGATCTAGAAAAAGAACAACAAAAAAACCCCAAAACCAGTAGAAGAAAAGAAATAATAAAAACCAAAGCAGAAATAAATGAAATTGAAACTAAAAAAACAATCCAAAAGATCAATGAAACCAAGAGCTGGTTTTTTGAAAAAATCAATAAAATAGACAAACCCCTAGCCAGGCTCACAAAGGAAAAAAGGGAGAAAGCACAAATAAACAGGATCATCAATGAAAGAGGAGAAATCACAACGGACACAGCAGAAATCAAAAGAATAATCAGTAACTACTATGAACAGTTATATGGAAACAAGTTTAACAATCTAGAGGAGATGGACAAATTCCTACAACTCTACAATCACCCAAAGCTAGATAAAGAAGAAATAGAACACCTAAACAGACCAATTACAATTAGCGAAATTGAAATGGTAATAAAAACCTCCCCAAAAACAAAAGCCCAGGACCTGATGGATTTACAAATGAATTCTACCAAACATTCAGAGACGAATTAGTGCCTATCCTTCACAAACTCTTCCAAAAAATTGAGAAGGAAGGGACAATACCAAACACGTTTTATGAAGCCAACATTACACTAATACCAAAACCGAACAAGGACAACACAAAAAAGGAAAACTACAGGCCAATCTCCCTAATGAACACTGATGCAAAAATCCTCAATAAAATTTTAGCTATCAGAATCCAACAATGTATCCATAAGATAATTCACCACGACCAAGTTGGATTCATTCCAGGGGCACAAGGATGGTTTAACATCCGAAAATCAATCAACGTTATCCAACACATCAACAA